AGCATTTTTTCGGAAGATTAGACCTTGTTCTTGAACTTCCATTAATCTCTTTAATACGTATTTTCTCTGAGCACTAGCGGACCGATCCAAAGTCCCCCCCCCCCCCTTTCAATTTTCCATATGTTGTACACGTAGAGTTAGGAAAATGACTGTCTGCAGGAAGACTAGTCCGCTATCGAAGAACCATCTAACTTTTTATAAAATAGCATTTTTTCGGAAGATTAGACCTTGTTCTTGAACTTCCATTAATCTCTTTAATACGTATTTTCTCTGAGCGCTAGCGGACCGATCCAAAGTTACCCCCCCCCCCTTTCAATTTTCCATATGTTGTACACTTAGAGTTAGGAAAATGACTGTCTGCAGGAAGACTAGTCCGCTATCGAAGAACCATCTAACTTTTGATAAAATAGCATTTTTTCGGAAGATTAGACCTTGTTTTTGAACTTCCATTAATCTCTTTAATACGTATTTTCTCTGAGCGCTAGTGGACCGATCCAAAGTTACCACCCCCCCCCCCCCTTTCAATTTTCCATATGTTTTACACTTAGAGTTAGGAAAATGACTGTCTGCAGGAAGACTAGTCCGCTATCGAAGAACCATCTAACTTTTGATAAAATAACATTTTTTCGGAAGATTAGACCTTGTTCTTGAACTTCCATTAATCTTTTTAATACGTATTTTCTCTGAGCGCTAGCGGACCGATCCAAAGTTACCCCCCCCCTTTCAATTTTCCATATGTTGTACACTTAGAGTTAGGAAAATGACTGTCTGCAGGAAGACTAGTTTGCTACCGAAGAACCATCTAACTTTTGATAAAATAGCATTTTTTCGAAAGATCAGACCTTAATCTTGAACTTCCATTAATCTCTTTAATACGTATTTTCTCTGAGCGCTAGCGGACCGATCCAAAGTCCCCCCCCCCCCTTCCAATTTTCCATATGTTGTACACTTAGAGTTAGGAAAATGACTGTCTGCAGGAAGACTAGTCCGCTATCGAAGAACCATCTAACTTTTTATAAAATAGCATTTTTTCGGAAGATTAGACCTTGTTCTTGAACTTCCATTAATCTCTTTAATACGTATTTTCTCTGAGCGCTAGCGGACCGATCCAAAGTCCCCCCCCCCCCCTTCCAATTTTCCATATGTTGTACACGTAGAGTTAGGAAAATGACTGTCTGCAGGAAGACTAGTCCGCTATCGAAGAACCATCTAACTTTTTATAAAATAGCATTTTTTCGGAAGATTAGACCTTGTTCTTGAACTTCCATTAATCTCTTTAATACGTATTTTCTCTGAGCGCTAGCGGACCGATCCAAAGTTACTCCCCCCCCCCCCCCCCTCCTCCAATTTTCCATATGTTGTACACTTAGAGTTAGGAAAATGACTGTCTGCAGGTAGACTAGTCCGCTATCGAAGAACCATCTAACTTTTGATAAAATAGCATTTTTTCGAAAGAATAGACCTTTAGCTTGAACTTCCATTAATCTCTTTAATACGTATTTTCTCTGAGCGCTAGCGGACCGATCCAAAGTTACCCCCCCCCCTTTCAATTTTCCATATGTTGTACACTTAGAGTTAGGAAAATGACTGTCTGCAGGAAGACTAGTCCGCTATCGAAGAACTATCTAACTTTTGATAAAATAGCATTTTTTCGAAAGATCAGACCTTAATCTTGAACTTCCATTAATCTCTTTAATACGTATTTTCTCTGAGCGCTAGCGGACCGATCCAAAGTTCCCCCCCCCCCCCCTTCCAATTTTCCATATGTTGTACACGTAGAGTTAGGAAAATGACTGTCTGCAGGAAGACTAGTCCGCTATCGAAGAACCATCTAACTTTTTATAATATAGCATTTTTTCGGAAGATTAGACCTTGTTCTTGAACTTCCATTAATCTCTTTAATACGTATTTTCTCTGAGCGCTAGCGGACCGATCCAAATTTCCCCCCCCCCCCCTTCCAATTTTCCATATGTTGTACACTTAGAGTTAGGAAAATGACTGTCTGCAGGAAGACTAGTCCGCTATCGAAGAACCATCTAACTTTTTATAAAATAGCATTTTTTCGGAAGATTAGACCTTGTTCTTGAACTTCCATTAATCTCTTTAATACGTATTTTCTCTGAGCGCTAGCGGACCGATCCAAAGTCCCCCCCCCCCCCCCCTTCCAATTTTCCATATGTTGTACACGTAGAGTTAGGAAAATGACTGTCTGCAGGAAGACTAGTCCGCTATCGAAGAACCATCTAACTTTTTATAAAATAGCATTTTTTCGGAAGATTAGACCTTGTTCTTGAACTTCCATTAATCTCTTTAATACGTATTTTCTCTGAGCGCTAGCGGACCGATCCAAAGTTACCCCCCCCCCCCTTCAATTTTCCATATGTTGTACACTTAGAGTTAGGAAAATGACTGTCTGCAGGAAGACTAGTCCGCTATCGAAGAACCATCTAACTTTTGATAAAATAACATTTTTTCGGAAGATTAGACCTTGTTCTTGAACTTCCATTAATCTCTTTAATACGTATTTTCTCTGAGCGCTAGCGGACCGATCCAAAGTTACCCCCCCCCCCCCTTTCAATTTTCCATATGTTGTACACTTAGAGTTAGGAAAATGACTGTCTGCAGGAAGACTAGTCCGCTATCGAAGAACCATCTAACTTTTGATAAAATAGCATTTTTTTCGGAAGATTAGACCTTGTTTTTGAACTTCCATTAATCTCTTTAATACGTATTTTCTCTGAGCGCTAGTGGACCGATCCAAAGTTACCACCCCCCCCCCCCCCTTTCAATTTTCCATATGTTGTACACTTAGAGTTAGGAAAATGACTGTCTGCAGGAAGACTAGTCCGCTATCGAAGAACCATCTAACTTTTGATAAAATAACATTTTTTCGGAAGATTAGACCTTGTTCTTGAACTTCCATTAATCTCTTTAATACGTATTTGCTCTGAGCGCTAGCGGACCGATCCAAAGTTACTCCCCCCCCCCCCCTCCTCCAATTTTCCATATGTTGTACACGTAGAGTTAGGAAAATGACTGTCTGCAGGAAGACTAGTCCGCTATCGAAGAACCATCTAACTTTTTATAAAATAGCATTTTTTCGAAAGATTAGACCTTGTTCTAGAATTTCCATTAATCTCTTTAATACGTATTTTCTCTGAGCGCTAGCGGACCGATCCAAAGTTACCCCCCCCCCCCTCCAATTTTCCATATGTTGTACACTTAGAGTTAGGAAAATGACTGTCTGCAGGAAGACTAGTTCGCTATCGAAGAACCATCTAACTTTTGATAAAATAGCATTTTTTGATTAGACCTTGTTCTTGAACTTCCATTAATCTCTTTAATACGTATTTTCTCCGAGCGCTAGCGGAACGATCCAAAGTTACCCCCCCCCCTCCAATTTTCCCATAGGTTGTACACGTAGAGTTAGGAAAATGACTGTCTGCAGGAAGACTAGTTTGCTATCGAAGAACCATCTAACTTTTGATAAAATAGCATTTTTTCGAAAGATTAGACCTTTTCCTTGAACCTCCATTAATCTCTTTAATACGTATTTTCTCTGAGCGCTAGCGGACCGATCCAAAGTTACTCCCCCCCCCCCCCCCCTCCTTCAATTTTCCATATGTTGTACACGTAGAGTTAGGAAAATGACTGTCTGCAGGAAGACTAGTTTGCTATCGAAGAACCATCTAACTTTTGTTAAAATAACATTTTTTCGAAAGATCAGACCTTAATCTTGAACTTCCATTAATCTCTTTAATACCTATTTTCTCTGAGCGCTAGCGGACCGATCCAAAGTTACCCCCCCCCCCCCCAAATTGTCCCATAGGTTGTACACGTAGAGTTAGGAAAATGACTTTCTGCAGGAAGACTAGTCCGCTATCGAAGAACCATCTAATATTTGATAAAATGGCATTTTTTCGGAAGATTAGACCTTGTTCTTGAACTTCCATTAATCTCTTTAATACGTATTTTCTCTGAGCGCTAGCGGACCGATCCAAAGTTACCCCCCCCCCCCTTTCAATTTTCCATATGTTGTACACTTAGAGTTAGGAAAATGACTGTCTGCAGGAAGACTAGTCCGCTATCGAAGAACCATCTAATATTTGATAAAATAACATTTTTTCGAAAGATCAGACCTTAATCTTGAACTTCCATTAATCTCTTTAATACGTATTTTCTCTGAGCGCTAGCGGACCGATCCAAAGTCCCCCCCCCCCCCCTTCCAATTTTCCATATGTTGTACACGTAGAGTTATGAAAATGACTGTCTGCAGGAAGACTAGTTTGCTATCGAAGAACCATCTAACTTTTGATAAAATAGCATTTTTTCGAAAGATTAGACCTTGTTCTTGAACTTCCATTAATCTCTTTAATACTTTTTTTCTCTGAGCGCTAGCGGACCGATTCAAAGTTACCCCCCCCCCCCCTCCAAATTTTCCATAATGACACATAGAGAGTAATAGGAAAATGACCGTCTATTTTAACCTTAATTTTTCTAGTTTGATATAAAAAAATAATATAATTTTTTATTTTGGCAAACTTTTCGTTTTTGTTCAAAATCAGGTGAATAAATAATTTATTTAGTTGCATTATTGAAATTTTAATTTAAGACCCTTATACTTTTTACATTCTTCAAATTGGTTTTCCGGCTGGAATCCGGCCAACTTCCATTCAATACCAAAGTAGACAGCACGGGTGAAGCTTAATCGGAGATGAAGGTAGCCCATCCAATGTGTAAAAATTGCCAATTTGATAAGTGTAAGGATCGCATTGTACCCCATAATCTTTGGGCGCAGCCATATTAGGATTTCTTGCATAAGTAGTCACTTAGATATTCTAAAAAATCAAAGATTTCAATTTCCTTTCTTTTTTTAAAACTAAAATAATATTGTTTTTTAAATACATTATTTTTAAATAATTTGAAAAGAAATGACGGCTTAAAACTATGGTAACATATGTTTACTAATCATTTGATTGGCAGCTTAATCTATTCGGTTGCCTTTGCGACAATGACGTCATACCCCAGCGCTCGCCATTGAGTGATGGTGTCAATCAATAAAAATATCCGTCATGAGTGAGGCCTGTGGGCAGTTGATTGATATTGATATCAGAATTGTCGAACTGTCATGACTTTAAGATTAACACAAGTCTAGGTCAAGATCTACGCAAATTTACAACAGATTTCATTGAATCGAGTCTGACAGGAGCTCGAGCTCCAGTCCTGTTTTTAGCCGATCGAGCAAGGCTGAGGCCCTCACTCTCAGACAGCGACCCGTCTCTGGCCCGGTCACGGTACATGCGTCGTCTGGAGCTGTGCAGCATAGACTAACTCCAATTCCAGCCCTCTGCTCTGAAGTTTGAACTGCACTGGAACTGCAGTGCTACGTGCTTAGCGAGGCCAGCGCAGGTGTGACGTGAAATCAAGGTAAGGTTGGAAAAATTGCAGATTAGGGTCTAGATCTATGCGACTTTACAAACTTTATTAGTGAATTTAGACTGTAGAGTAGAGTCTAGGCCTAGACTAGATCTAGATCTAATCATTTCCTATTTCAAATTCAATCATGCTCTTGATGTCTTTTTAAGATTTTAATGTAAATGCAACATGTAAAATCCCTCAATGAATTTCCATGTCATTATTGGACGAAATAAAATTGAACTGAATTGAAGTCACAAGATCATTTAGCAGTAGGGGCGCTGGCCTGAGAATAAGGATCGTCTTCATAAACGAGGATTGTCTTCGTAAACGCGGACCGATGCGTCCTCAAAAATAAGGGTCGTTCGCAGAAGTTTAATTTTTTAGATCGGCGCGTTGGCGATGCGAAAAACAGATTTTCTTGATGCATTTGACATTGACTTTGTACAGAGACTTTCACATTATGAGCGATCAATTCTTGGAAGACGGACAACCCATAAAAGTATAGACAGTGAACTTGGTTATTTTCTCAAGGGGAATCCATTTTTCGCATGGCAAGCGGGGGCTTTTGTAATGCAAAATCCCCAGAGCGCAATTTGTCCCAGTTTACAAGGATATATTCTTGTTTATGCGTACAATCCTCATTCTTGTACCAGCGCCCCTACTGGTTTAGTCTATACACTTAGAAGTTTGACTAGAGTAAAAACAAAAAGAGTATTGATTGATGATCTAAAACCAATAGAATTCTGTGCCTTATGACATAAGACAACAAGTTATGTAAATTGTTATGATCTAGGGTATTAAAGCTTGAATTTGATTATAGAGTCTTCTGAAAAAATACGAAATCACCAATTTTCTTCTGATTAAAGAAAGAAAACAATCAGTTGTTATTCAACAAACTGTTTTATAGTATATATGTCATGATAGTTTTAGTAAGTTTTTACATTTGATTCATGATAAAAAATGTTATTTGAAATTCAGAATGCAGTCTGATGTAATACAAGAGTGAAAGAGGAACAGGTCTACAGGTATAAATTTGAAATATAATATTCATTTCTTTTTGTTTGGGTTTCCCTCAGATGCAAAGGATAAACTAGCAATGAAAAAGAGACCTCTTTGAAGTTGTTGATCTCTCAATAACATTTTATCATCAAGATGGGAGTGGAATCTGAATTTGACACCATATTTGACCTTCTTGATGCGAGACAGAAAGGCTACATTGAATACAATGAGATTCTCGACTTTTACCAGGCATTCTATTTTATGCCTGTGGCAAGAGATCAAGTAAGTATACCCTTGATACATTTTGAGGAAAAGTGATTAGTTGATGATATGTAGCGCTTAGAGATTTTGGTGGAAAGCACTTTATAAGTACCATTTTTATTATTATTATTATTATTATTATTTATGATATACCTGTTCAGGGCCAGAGATTGTTCTGGGTATCTTAATAAGCCTCTCCAAGGTATTTCTCTTCAAAATCTTCTAATTTAGAATGTTTTAGATGAATCTTTAATACAAAATAATACTTCAAGAGAGAATTTCAAAACATTGATCACTATGAGTAATAACAGGGTATCATTTAATCAAACCATCATAAGTACAAGTTCACTGAGAGCCCATTGAACTGTATTAGATTCTAATTTCCGAGTTTTAACTTGATTTAAACGTTTCAATGAAATGTCCATAAACTTGTACTTACAAAAGTTTTTGAAACGTTGCCCATATGTTATTATGCCATTACTCACCACTTACTGGTGCCCAAAACACATTGGCCCCCAAATGCTAACTTTGGACCCCCATAATCTTAAATTGTGATAGCTAGGGTCCATGCATACCAACCCTAAATATTTGGTCATGACCCTTCGTGAAAAAAAATATAGTATGGATCCATGCTTATGCTCCATTCTTTTTTTCTTTCCTTTTTTTCAGGTACATGAGGCCATAAAGCATGTATGTGGCAAAGAAGCTGATGGGAGATGTAGGAAGCGTAAGTTTGTAGATGTTGTGGTTGAACTGGAGCGTAGACGTCAGGTTGTGCAGGGATCATGGTGGGACTTCAAAGCTCTAGATACAAAGGTTAGCCTCTGACATGTAGTGTGCATATTAATTAAACAGGGACATTGTGCAAGTAAGTAATTTGAGCAGCGAAAAACATTTGTAAAGTGAGAACAATTTGATTTGATTCTAATTAATTTTGATTTTGTTACTGTAACTATGTTTTAGTCATATAGATCTTAGCCAGTGTATTTGATTTTATGAAGTAGTTTTTAGCTCTTGACAGGTTTGTGTATTGTCAAGTTTTTGGCTTAATAAGACACTGTTATTTTGCAAACAGCAATTGGAAAACTATCTCACAAGAAATGATAGACGTGAATACATTGATATTATTTACAATTAAATCCATAAATCATTATCCAGGTGTTATCTACATCAGCAGCTAGGAAAAGAATTGAAACGCATGCTATGTATAGCAAAATACCATTGCTTGTATATGAGGCCTAGCTGTTCTTTGTTTATGCACCATTCTACATGTACAGTCAGAGGTTCAAAAGTAACGGAAGACACAGTTCAACATGATGCAGATTGAATACAACAGGAGGAAGGAAAAAAGTTGTTGTTAACAATGAGTTATTGATATCATGGATGCATTAGTGAAAGAAAATATGTAGTTTCTCAACTTACTTTATACCTAAATTTATCTTCCAGGATGCAGATAGAATTTCAGTAAAGGAAGGTCTGTTTCTGATGAAAGCCACTCACCAGGAGCACTTCACCACCATCACATGGCAAACCTTCCTTGAATCCCGCTCCCACCATCACGAGGACATCAGCTATGATGAGATCCGCATGTGGCTGTGCAACTGGCCACTTCATGGGACAAGCTGTGGATACGATGAAGTCATTGCGATGGGAGAGAAGCTGGATAAGGAGAAGAAGAGACAGGATATGCAGAGGAGAAAGAAAGTCATGAATCTAGAGGTAGCGTAGAATTTAGACACCTGACTTGACTTAGGTGCATAGGACGGTGTGTCCCCTTGCTCCCCTACGAGAAATCATGCTCCAGTCTGATCTGTCCTGGGCTCGTTGCTCTGCCTCTTGTGTGGATAGTCCCACATTGCATTGAACCTGGTCCTTCCATCTCTTTGGAGGGCGTCCCGTGGTCTGCATCCATTAAAGTCATGAATTTAGACAATGCTTATGTAATGTTGAATGGTCATAAAAGTGATACAAGGGTATGTTATTTGAGTTGTGAGTATATTTCATGTGTGGTCATGTCAAGACTAATTAACATTGATTTCACCAGTCATGTGTACAGTAATTTGTTTTCTGGGTGCAGTACATATTACTTGGCCAGATTATGACCAGATAATGCATGGAAATATAGCTTACGGTACATATAATGTACATTTATATGCATTCTCAATCTGCTTTTTATTTTCTTAGGATGATTTCATCAAGGCTATTGAAGCTCAGGAAAAGCAGCAATACAGTAACAAGTTCAGGAATGAAGCCAAGCGGAAATTGAACAGGTACCATTACACTATACATTTCCTGAACATAATTACCATGTGTCACATAACCTAGTCTTTCAGTAAAGGTGGATAAGTGAGCAGAGACTGTTAGTAAAGTATTTTGAACGTATGATGGTCAACTTAAAATGATGTTTAATACTCTATAGGAGAAGAGTATGTTTTCTTGCCACGTATGTGGTCATTTCATCTTAATTCTGTAGTGAAAGTTCTAATGCACAGTAATGGCCTGCTTATTGCATGATGTGGAAGATGGAAAAAAATTCTTGATAAATTGATCCTTCAACAATGTTGAGCTTTCTTGAATATTGAATATAGTTCAATTACATTCACTGTCTGTCTTCATCATTTGTGTACCTACATGTATAACCTATTATTTCACAGGTGGGTCCAGCTTGGAGTAGAGTCACTGTTGTTTGATGATGGATACGATGCCTTTGAAGGAGATGGTACACAGAGAAATACAGTCTCAGTCCAGGATCTCATGGAAGCTATGGAAGAGAAATATGACATTCTGAGAGAGAAACTTCTATGGGAAGCCACTCAGAAGCATGTCGGTAAGTTAAAGATAGATTAACAGAACATTAAAGTGCTTCTACAAGATGAATAAAATATTTCTTTGAGATGCTTCCCCATGAGGACATAAAATTTATTCTTTTATAAATCCTGGTTTTTTAATAAAATGAAATCATTAGAATTGGATAAGCAATTATTATGTATAATGAAATTATTGAAGTATATATCTTTCGTAAAAAGAAAATTGTGTGTAATCATTCTATGAAATGTTTTAACTTGTAGGTGAGAGCATCTGGTCATCTATGAGAGAGAGTGAGCATGAAGAACAGGTCTTGAGAGTGAAGACCAAAGAAGCTGAATATAGAGTCAAAGGTATACTACAAATATACAACAATATAATATTAATCTTGTAGTATTTTGTTTGCAAGAGCCATGGTCTTGTGTCTTTTTTGTAGAGGTTCAGATATTGAAATTTCATTGATAAATTTAGCATACCGGTATTCAAATTGCTCACAACTAGCTTTGTAAGGGTTGTTCACTCTACCTTTTGAAAATGTGTCTTTGGTTATAACTAATCATTTTTTAATATCATCAACATTAGTCATATTTATACTGTGCATACATGTTAAAAACTCCACAACCTAAACAATCCTTAAGTTCCTTCCTATGATAGTAGTGTAAAATGCATGTAGTTGATATTTTGGACCTGAAAAGGTTCTTGAACTGAAGAGCTAGAGTAGCTAGTATTGTTTCATGATGGTAACAAAAAAAATGTTAATGCATGAAATCAATTTCTTTTTATTTGAAGGTGACTTTGAGAAGATCACTCAGCTGTCTGTCTCCTACCAGCTCTACCCCAGCACTCTGATCTCCATGATGGGGTATGAACGATTAGCCCATCTCAAGTACCTCAAGGAACTCCAAGATCGGGAGAAGAAGATGAAAGCTGACGGCAAGACATCTGATGAGATGTACCAGGTCTTTGTAGAGGAACACATGCAGAAGATGCAAGGTTAGATGAGAGAAAGGTTTTATGACACATTTATGCTCTGTCATTGCTCCCTGGTCAATGTCTCTCTCGCAATCCTGGGGGGGGGGGGGGGGTGTTTCACAAAGATCCAGAGTTGAACTTATCTCTAAGTTGGACTTAACAGTTATGGAAAGCTGTTACCATCTATGAAAATATTTTGTAAAAGTTCTTTTAAAAGACATAACATGTTGATTCAAATCATTCATATTTTCTATTATCAAGGATATTTCATGTTCTTGATGTGGAATTTATAAAAAATCTAAAATACTTGATTTTTCGCTTTTGAATATATTTCATTTTAAGACTACAAATGGCTCTCCACATTTTTTTAAGTCCAACTTAGAGTTAAGTTCACCTAAGGATCTTTGTGAAACACCCCTGGACTCGCCATTACTCTAAACCTATCCTAAAACCAAATTGCAATGCTATCTAAGCCCTAAATCTCTAATGACATGGAATAGATATCCACATATCAGGTGTCAAATCACTAATAAGAGATGAGAGTTAAAAACTTTTCTGTAGCTCATATGTTTTTTAGTTAAGAAAATGAATTATTGTATTGACAGAAAATAAATGTTCACAGAATTAAATACAACTTAGACTGTGGATTCCAGACCACGAGTAAAAGATTCCTGCCAAAGGATTTGGTAGAGAATGTGTAATCACTGAGTAATTAGCAACAACATAAAATTATGATAAGGACACCAAGTTATTAGTCCCAACCATCCATGTTCTCCTATTGTGCAAATATCAGTTCTGCCTGTCAGTAAATGTTATGTAGTTAAGAATTATGCTTTTTGACTTGAAGCTATACAAAAATTTACTTAGAACCTATCTTACAAAAATCCATAAATTTCATTGTAAATTGGATTGAGTGGAGTCTCTTCTGCATGATGTTTACAGGGAGAGCCACAGCAGGCCAACTTTTGATCGACCTTCACAAGCGCCATGTGACTGAAAGAGACTTCGTCCTCTCCTTGCTGAAGGGCAGTCAAGGTCGTCCATTGTTTGCAGCCGAGATGGTGACGGAGTATGTCTTCTATGTGACCCAGCAACTCATCGCTGCCCTAGAGCCGGCTCAGCTGGAGTACTCTGCCATGGCCATGGGCATCTCTGAGAGGACTCAGGACCTCAAATCATCCTGGTAATCATCTCAATCTGTTCTTATAAACTAAATTTATTGCAAGTTCAATATCAACAAGCTTTTGGACATTACAGTGGCTGTATGAGCTATATTGACTGCACCCTTGGTATTATCAAAATTAACTGTCAGATGTCATTCCTGTCAGTCGATCGTTTCAATTATCGCATTCTTGTGCCATCAACTTTTTGCAGTCTACTTCATACACATTTTAGTATTTGTATTAGGAGGAAGGGTAAAAAAGTGTATTATTATATTGTTTGTATTTGAACAACTAATACATTTATCTTAACCCTATTTAGCCCGGGCTATTTTGAAACTGCATAGCCCGGGGGGGGGCTTCTCAGGCCCCCCCCTATGATCTCGGCCGTGAAACGCCCGATCGCCGCGAAAATTTGCATACATGTCAAGTGAAGTGTATAGAATACTATGGTAATTTCAATTTTTTTGAAAAATTCACTCATTTGCATATTTATGGTAATTTATGCAAATAAGGTCATTAAATTCACATTTTTGCCCATAAATCAGACATTATTCATATTTAAGCATTCTTTCTCACTACATATATTTGTTAGACCATTTCGAATAATAATACAACACAAAAATTTGAAAAACCAGGGTTATTCCTTATGTTATCTATTGTTTTGATAATTTCTTATGTATTTCTTTGTTTTTTTAACTTATGTGTTTTATTGTTTTTGTTGTTTTATTTCATTTCCAACTATAATTCAACTATTTTGACCCCAAAATAAACACCTAAAATCTAAACAAGACCAAATAACCAATGTTTTACCTCTTTATTTGAAAAATGAGATTTCCATATGTTTTGTACACAAATCACAAAAATGAGCGATTTTCGGGCTGACATGCGAAGACAAAAGGACACCTGACTTTGTAATGGTAGGTCCGATTTTCGAAAAATTTCTTTCAAAAGTTGCGCAAGACTCGAAAGAAAAAAGTCACAAAATTTCAGTGCAAGATTTTCTTGCGTTAAAAAATTATCGCGAAAAATGTCGAGGGGGGGGCTTCTCAAGCCCCCCCCCGGGCTAAATAGGGTTAAGTGGGACTGCACTTCAAAAATCAGGCCAATTAAAATGGTTGATAACTATAATGGTAAGAATCCACTTAAATGATTATTATTGGTCTTTATGTTCTCATCCTTTCTCTATCTATATCTTCCCAAACCTCAGCTATGACTATGACCGTGACTTGCATGAGCTGCTTGGTCTGCACAGGCTTCATCTGGATGGTGCGTCCAAGCGCCCAGAGAAGCCCTCAGGGGAGCATTTCCCCATGGAAGGCAGGAACCGTGGCATTGTGGACCTGCAGGTTGAGATCATGAGAGCAGTACTCCGCAAACAAATCCATGAGAGAAGTGTGAGTTCATATGTCATCACCATGGCAACAAGATCAGGAGACATGTTTGTTTTGTTAAATTCAAATTTTTTTCTTTCATATATTCATTTAGTTTTGTGGCTTGTGTTTTTGGGGGTGGTGGAAATCAAGAATCTTAAAACACTTTATAAGAAATATTCTGTTTTCAATGAAATTCAAGAATAGGTTAAAAATTTCTTGATTTGGTTTCTGTTTCAATAATCATTATGATGTCGTCTACTCTTTATTTTCATATTTTACTTTTTTAGACCCCCCAAAATAAAGAAATACTGGACAGCACTTCTTCACTATATTGTCAGAAAACCTTTTGTTCGGCATTACGGTGCGGCAAAAATATATAATCATAGAGCCCCACTCAGATATAAAAACCACATCATTTTTTCATTTTTTTTAAAAATAATGATGTAACGTGTAATATGCTTCAAATCCTGTATCTTATATCACAGAGTCCAGGAAATATGCAAAACCTTTTCTGCGCAAAGCTGTTATTCATTTACTGCGTGATATCTGAAAAAGCCATAAATCAGTTGTAAAGATAATCAAAAGATAATATTTGATTGTTGTTTGATTGGTAGATGATGAGTTACATGCTACAGGGCAAAGAAAGCACTGCATGGAGAGCAGCAGCTAACAGGAGACCTAGCAGAGAAGCCAAGGAACTGCGCATCAATGAGCTGAGGACACTCTGCTCAAACTGGAGACAAAGCCCTATTGAGTACATTAGGACCAAACAGAATGCCCATGTTAAGATGCTGCTGGAGGGAACATGGTTGTACCATGCCAACAAGTATGTAATGTTGAAATGTGTACTTTTTTCTAAGAGATTATGATAGGCAATGATGATGCATGTCTGATAATTACCTGATTTAAATTGGGTTTCCTGATTATTTTCTTTTCCTGATTTTTTTTTGTCTTCTTCTTCTTCTTCCTGATTTTACCCTGATTGTTCCCAATTTTTTCTCAATTTTCTTACTCAAAAGGGGGGGGAATGTTGATGGATGTCATTTTTTTTGTATTGCTCACTATCACCCCTGTAATGATGATATTGATGGCCATGATGATGGTGGCGATGGTGGGGGTGATGATGATGACCGTAGGGAAGACAATGATTTAAGTTGAATTAAATTTAGGTTGATTAAAGTGATAATGATATCTATGAAAACATTTTGTGCGTATTTCAGACTTTCAACATAAGTTCATTAAAATAATTTATTTGTAGTTATGTGTACGTGGTATTGAAAATGCAAATTGAATTTGTAGCGTTCATTTTCCAATTACATCACCCTGAACGTTGTCTCTCAGCCAATCATATGCAACTACGGAAGTCTTATTCATATTGCGAGGAACTCCACTTATGAGCTGATGTATTTTTAAGCATCAAAGAGAAGAAAAAGTAATGAAATATCAAAATATCCTTTAAACTTGTACCCCCCCCTACTCTACCTGCATGTTCTGAAATAGACAGGTGCTCTGACAGTAAATCATTCTGATTGTTCTTACCACAGACAACTCGACATCCGTGGGGGTCACAACCTGACCCTGACCCAGGTCTCTGCTAATGTCATGGCTGATCTTCAGCAGCATCATTCCAGAGAGCTGGAGAGAATCCTGCTAGAGATGCAACACAAGGTAAGAACTCTATTACAACCAGGGGTAATGTTAGATCATGTTAATGAGGGGGTGGGGGTGTCTCTGCCAACGTAATGGCTGATCTTCAGCAGCATCATTCCAGAGAGCTGGAGAGAATCCCGCTAGAGATGCAACACAAGGTAAGAACTCTATTACAACCAGTGGTAATGTTAGATCATTTTAGTGAGGGGGGGGGGGTCTCTGCCAATGTAATGGCTGATCTTCAGCAGCATCATTCCAGAGAGCTGGAGAGAATCCTGCTAGAGATGCAACACAAGGTAAGAACTCTATTACAACCAGTGGTAATGTTAGATCATTTTAGTGAGGGGGGGGGGTCTCTGCCAATGTAATGGCTGATCTTCAGCAGCATCATTCCAGAGAGCTGGAGAGAATCCTGCTAGAGATGCCGCACATGTTAAGCACTCCATTACAACCAGGGTTATTGCTACACCATTTAAACCGTTGATGGACATATTTTGTTAATATGAAAGCCAAGGCTGGTTGTAAGATTTCATTTTTGCCAATTTTTGCCAAGCTTCAACAGTGTTTTCAGTATACAAAAAGGAAAGACCTATAATTATGCAATTTGCAGACAAGGCTTGAACAATTCAAAATTTGCCAGCTGTGATTTATAATTGGAGGTTATTGGAAGTGTTAATGCCTCAACTATACAATTTCCACACAACTGTGCCAGGAGTGTCATTTTTGACAGACATGGCGCATTATAGATGTTCACTATTATTATTATTTTATCAAACTTTAGTGACACCCCTACTTTCAACTAGTATACTCCCCACTCAGAGTGTGTGTATATGTGTAATTTAGTTTGTACACATGTATCAATCAAATCAGATTATATGGAGTCCTACCTTTAACATCACCATCTGAAAGACGTGGCTCTTTCAAATCTTTAAAATGTTTATTTTTTAACTGAAATCTACATGACCCATCGACATTTCCCTTTGATGATTTATCCCTGAGTTCATCATGTATAACTTAGTACATGTTTACATATACACTCCTACAGAACTGCAAGGATCTGCTAGCTATCTGGCGTCGTGAGTACAGTGCGTTGAATGAAGAGTATCTGGATGGCATCTCCGCTGTCATCCTGGGAACCTTTGAGCTCTCATTTGAAGAGCTGGAGATTGTAGCAGCTCTGGAAGCAAAATATGATGTCCTCAGGTAATTCAGCAAATATTCTTTCAATTTTGTTGGTCCATTTCGATTTGTTTTGTTGCAGAGTTGTGAACATAAAAAACTGTTATGCCTGAAGAAAGGACACAGAAAAATCTTTACCAGCATTGCTTAGAAAGGAAGGATTTTAGTGGTGTTAATTGAAAACTTGTGATGCTCTCGTCTCAACCAGCGAAAGATTGAGATTCACAGGAGCAGTGAGCAATATTGCTCTGAAAAGCTCTAAAATAGCTACGTTGACAGGGATTCTAATTTAGTATGAGGCAAATTCATTCCTTTTTCTCTTCACTTTTACCATTACGGTGCCGCTTACAAACATAATTTTAAGCTTTGAATTGACTCTTTTCATCACCATCATCTCCATCTACCATTGTTCAACAGGGACAAGTTGTTGATGGATGCCCTGATGAAGCAGTACGGAGAGGCAGAATGGAAGAAGATGTCTGAAGGGGAGAGACAGCGCCTTCTGATCAAGCTCAGGCTTGAGGAGAGACGTCTCAGGCAGGAGGGCAAGTTTGATCAGGCAGCCAAGCTTCTCGGAGATAGCATTAAGGTATTCCGTCTTGGACAAAAATAAAACAATCCTTTTTGGCCTGTGTGCATAGGGGGAGGGATTGGTTGGTGGGTAGATTGTCATGCCATTTACTGATTTGCTGACAAGCTATTGGGTTTATGATTTAAAAGTGAGAACTTCAAACCATTCTATAACTATCTTGTTTAAATTAACTCATGAATGAATTGTCACAGCCATTATAAGAGATATTTTTATGTTTGTAGAGATGAAATGGTTCAATCCATTATATTAAGTTTATTTTTCACACAACCTATTTGAAGCAAAGACAAAGAGTTACCGGTACTCTTCTGTAATTTCAAGAAGTAGAGTCATAAACTCATGGATGAATTGTTACAGTCATTCAAAAGAAGATATTGAATGCCAACTGCTTTTATTGTTGAAAATTCCTTTTATACAGTCCAAAATAGACCAGCAACCAAGAGATGCCATATAATTCCCTTCCCATTTCCAAGGGGAAAACCTTCACTATATTTTCTTGAAATTTTAATGTAAATATGCTCCCCACAAAATTCATCAAATAATAATTAAAATCATGTTTTGTAGGACAAGGAAGCGCTTCAGCAGTTGATGGGAAAGAATCGTGAGGAATTCCATAAGAAACTCCAGCAGCGGTTGATGGAGAGAGAGAAGCGTAAAGCCATGGGACTAGACTCTGATACAGAGAGTGATGCAGGTACAGCCATTAATTTTTATCGCTTTAAATACCCCTTGCAGTGACGGTGGTGGTTTTGCCTGGCATTTCATGGCTATAGGAGGCTATCTTTATGTTACTAGATAAAGTATACAAGCATCAGAGACACTATAGTGATACTTAAATAATGATTCTACAATGATGCATAGCTATAATATTCATTTTTGTTTTCTTCTTTCGTTTCATCTGGTAAACTGAAGAAGAATTTGATATGTTGATATTTTTAGTGAGAATAAAGATCCAGATTGATCTTTCATCTTTGTAAACATAATTCTCCTTTTAATCACTTTTTACACTTTGTAGTGAACACCATGTGTTGTTTTACATAGACTTTAACATAAGGCCCAGCCTTCCTGTCTTGTCTCCTAATACTTTCATTCATTGTTCTTTTTGTCTTCTCTGCTTGTGTTATTCGCCTGTTATAAATTGATATTATTTTTTAACTTGTGTATGTTTGTTTACCTTTGTATATTTTTAATGAAAGTATTGAATAAAGTGAACTTGCAAGGGTTTATAGATCATAATGTCACCCTCCCCTCCCTCTGGATTTGCTCTGAGGTGAAAGCTGTATGATTAACTGCATTAATTATGCTGTGCTCTGTATTCCTATAATTGAAACCATCATACTGTACATAGATTGGTGAGCATTAAGTGCAGAGGTTTTATTGCATGTGATATGCAAGTGATGACTTCTGTGCATAATAGATGCAAATATTCATATTTCCTAACAGAAGTGGAAGAGGAAAAAGCAAAGCGAGGCAACATCCTCAAGGACCTACAGCAGAGACATGATGAGGAACTGAATGCCATCATGATGTTGCTACGGCAACAGCAGAACCAGTACTTGAGTGAGAGGGAACGTCAGGAGCTGCTGCTGAGACTAAGGAGAGAGAAACGAAGAGCAGCCAAGGAATCCAACTTTGATGAGGCAGCCATCTTGCTTGGGCTGGCTGAAAGGAACAAAGCAAACATGGAGGAAAAGTGAGATCCATTAATTATTTTGTCAACAAATTTGCGCAAGCCATACAACCATTTATGGTACAGGGAAAAAAAATCATTGGATGTGTATAATGTATAATTCATTCATTTTTTTGAAGGGGAAGGTTTCATATGATTCATCACATCTACTCAAAATGGAATTGATTTTTCAGCCGAAATTTTTCTCTTTTTTATGTATTTGATTGAAACAGTACTTTAATACGAATGTGACATTATTGAATTGACATATTTTAAATCGATAGCTCTTAAAAGCATATGTCCTGTTACTTCACTTGTATCTTATAGACTGAAGGCAGAACGGGAACGTCAACTGAAGCTAGCCAGAGAAAGAATTGCAGCAAGGAAGAGGAAATCAGGCCAGGTTATGGATGATGACTTTGATGATCCTAGTTTACCTCCAAAAGGTTTGCTCCTCATTTGTTTTTCATTCACAATACTGCCAATTTTTGTTTAATAAAAATATAAAACTCTTCCATATTTAGCAACTCTGTAGCTAGTGACATTTCCAATACTTAGAAGATATAAATACCCAAGTAATGGTATTATCCTACTATACTACAAAAAGAAAATGTCAATGTATCTGCCCTTTCTTGCCATCATTTATCAGGTGATGTAGAGGCTTGGAGAGATGCTGTCCTTCGCGAGATGGATCACAAGCATCGAGCAGAGCAGGAACTCCTGGTTACTATAGTGATGGATGAAGGCAGTGAGGATGTTCGAGATGCTGCCAGGAAGATGGGCAAAGAGGGTCGTCAGAAGCGTCTCTTATATCTACGGTCCCAGGCCGAGGGTCTAAACTTGGAGAAGAAAGGTATGTACTTTGAGCAGGAGGGAGAGGGTTATAATTTGAATTGGGACGCCTCTTGTTCACAAGGAAGGGCAGAAACAAAGATTAGGAGTTTGCTTTGTACTCTAAAATCTTTATGGGCTGGGATAGTGCAGATCCTATGATTGAATTCAGCTTGTTTATTTTTGCATTTCACTGCCCTTTCATACAGATATTTGGATATGACTGGTTTGATTGTAATATTTTATATTTTATAGAGGCACCTGGAGCCGTCACAAGCATCCATCAACGAAATCTAATTCGATCTAATATAATGTAATGTAATGATCTCCTCCTGTGCCTTGCAGAAGAGAGAGAGGAGAACCGTGACATCTGCGAGGAGGCTGGAGCCGTCACTTGCATCCATCAACAAAATATAATTCAATCTATAAATATAATGTAATGTAATGATCTAATCCTTTGCCTTGCAGAAGAGAGAGAGGAGAACCGTGACGTCCTGGAGGAGGCAGGAGCCATCACTTGCATCCATCAACAAAATGTAATTCAATCTAATATAATGTAATGTAATGATCTCCTCCTTTGCCTTGCAGAAGAGAAAGAGGAGAACCGTGACATCCTGGAGGAGGCTGGAGCCATCAAGAGTATCCTGCGTCATCGGACCCTGCAGGAGCAGCTCAAAGCAGAGAGCCAGGAGGTGGAGCAGGAGGAGGTGACTACCACTCTCCTGGCTGATCTCCAGGAGGAGCAAGAAAAGGAGAGTGAAGTCATCATGGCAACTATCTTCACCATGGTCAGTTTTCTTCCTAATAGATTCAATTTCACTTTGAAACTCAGTTGGTATTTGTTGATTTATTCATTTCACGTGTTTATCCAGAGTAGCCTGTTCAGTTTAATACAATATATAACATTTATGTAAAATAAATTTTAAAGGAATTATCATTTTAAAAGTTTAAAGTGTTACTACAGTCTACTTGTAGTCTTCAACACAGCTCTTTCTGTAAGTGGATGGAAAATGTACATTTATACAAATCATAGAAAATATAATATAACATTGCCTAGTAAGTGTTGTATGTAATGTACAATATATATATCAGCTGTTGGAATTCATTCAAATATATTGGATGATTTTATGGAAGAAGTATTGACTTATAAACTGATGCTGATTAATCAGTTCTAATATCACAAAATCTGTTATGTGGTTTTGGTTGTGTATTTGGTTCCTTTTTCTGTACCCACATATGAGGCCCAGATTTAATCTCAATATCACATGGCTATTTATTCCAGCTAATGAAAACTGTCATAAAACAAGCAAAAGGTTTCTACATTTCATACTTTCCCAATGCAACGCTACTGAAGGAGTGTAAGGAGGAGGTTAAATAATACTTTGCGTAGTTTTAGCAATTAATGCTGATTTTGTTGTTTTAATATCCACATGACTGAAGAAAGAAATTTGGTTTCATTTTTATAGAACGAGGAGCAGCTTTCTCGTCTTCGAATGGATCAGATCTGGTCTCGTCACAACGAACAGGGGAGCAATGCCTTGGTTGTACTCACACAGTATGAAGGTGTAGGAGATGAAGACAGTCTCTTAAAGGTAAAGTCCATCTTTGATTGCTTTCACCCTGGGGATGCTTCGTTTATACATGAGACTGTGAATCATAATCTTGAAAAACAGTGCTGTTGTAAAATGAAACTTTTTTATATGAACAGCAAGAGGCAGTGAAAACAAAGTAATTTAGTGCCCAAAATGCCCCCTAAGTGTACTTGTTTAGCTGAGTGTGGTATGATTGTAAAGTGCACTGCAACTATGTCATATTTCATTTTGCAGCTGAGTTTTTCTTTTCTTTTAAAATACTCTTCGAGTCTGATTGTGAACTCTGCCTTTCAGAGGTACGATCCTCGTCACATTGAATTTTATATTTTAAAAGTGTGAATACATGACGAGTTCTTTGTCTACCATTTCACTCAATGGAATTCTAATTTTGCTGGAGACGATGATGATGATGCTATGTTTAGAATTTAAAGGAGGACCAGTTGAAACATAACATGGTGACACATTTTCACATTGGACTTGAAGCTGTAGATCCCCTGGTTGCATACAAACAAGTGTATATGTGTGGTTGCTTTCTGAGCATTCATGTGTAGTCAATCAATGTCCCCTAGACAGCTAATAACCTTTCCCTTTGAAAATTCCCTCAATATCATGAATCGTTTATTTTCTATTCGCTTGTGTAGGCCTTGGACAAGAAGTATGACACCCTGCGAGAAAAGATCCTGAAAGCTGCCCTTATAAAGAGGGTTGGAGAAGAGAAATGGGACGAGATGAGTGAAGAGGAGAGACATAAGATGCTCTATGAGCTCAAACAACAAGAACGAAGGCTGAGAGCCGATGGTAAAGTTTTTCTACTTCTGTTTTGAACTTGCATTCTCTGGATTCCTGATTGTAAATGAACGAAAATGAGGACATGAAGCATGAATAAATGGGGATAGAATCTTCTAACAAGGCATTAACATTCATTTTGTAAAGATATCACATGATTACAAGAACACATTCAAGATGTTGGATACATGAAGTAACCAAGCCGTCTACATTATTTTCCTTTCCTGTCGTTTGGGAAACCTGGTGGATTTAATACATACATTTAATACACATGCCTACGCTATATATCTTTCAATGCAGACAACATTTCTACGGGTACTTTTTTGTTTGTTTCTGAAAACAGGGAAGACATCCGAGATCTCCCAGCAGCTAGGAATCGTAGTCTCATCAGAAGGTATCAAAAAGTTGATGGGTACAGAGAGAACCCAATATGAAGAGAAGAGAAGGCACAAGATGGAACTCAGAAAGAGAAGGTTGTCACAAGGTTCGTTCTATGTTTTTATCAACATTTCTAATGTCTGTATAGTTGTCCAACATTCCTTCTGGCAACATTTACTCCAGGCTTTATTTTGTCATGCATATCAAGTTACGAGTAGGGTTTGGGTTTTGAATTAGGGTAATAGGTATTACATTGGGCCCTGGTTTAAAGCTGGGAATTCAGTTCTTAAAGTCACGTAGAAGTCAGCTCTCATGGGGAATTTGATACCGTTCGGGTGTTTACCCAATAACAGGTGTTGTCAATCACCAGGGTTAGCCTTGGATTTTATGACCATTATGTAATGCTTTGCTTTTCCTTCGCCCGAAGAATCTCTGAGCATGCTCCGAGAGACTAGGGGGTAATTCTTGACTTGCCAACAGGTTTGCTGTGTTCAGATTTGTACTCCCATTAATGGTATTTCCACCAAGTCTGGTGTCAGCGAATTACGGCCTTCTGCACATGGAAACTGACTACCCACTCCCTTTAAGTGTAGGAAATTGACTGCCAAGCAGTTGTTTTTATGTGAGAACAAATGGAAACACTGTGAATGCCTGATGTTCAGACTTATGAGTGTAAACAATATTTATTCAATTGAATTGGTTATAAGTGAAGGCAGTAGGAAATATTTATATTTATCATGAATATGTAATTTATATTTTGTTATAAGTATGTTTACCATTCAAGAAGGTAAGACTGGTATAAATGGATATCAGATATTCTTTCTTATTTTAAATTGTGATCCAATGTGTAGACCCCAATAAAGAGAATGTTTCTTTCTGTCCGTCTCATTCACTTCAGGTTTAGACCCCATTCAAGGAGGTGACGATGAAGGCATCTCTGAAGACGAGGAGGATGAAGGAGACATTGATATTCTGACTCAGATTCAGAAGCGTCAGGATGCCGAGCGGGACGCCCTCATTGCTCAACTCCGTGGAGTGGATGCCCAGTACCTCACTGAGCGAGAGCGTCAGGCGGAGCTTGCTCGGCTGAAGAGGGAGGTGCGTAAGGCAAGGATGGAAGATGGGTTCCATGCTGCGGCGTTGGTGCTAGGTCTGGCAGAGAGACATCAGGCTGCTGCTGATGAGAGGTTAGTGATTTATAAGGAAGGATAACCAAAGAAATATATATAGACATTCATACAGATAAAAAAGCATAGTGAAGCCAGGCAGAGAAAAAAAAACATTTAAAAATCAGACAAATAAGGCAAAACAAGGACAGACATGACAGACAGAACAAGAAAAGTTACTTTGACACTTTTGTTAAAAAATAATGCTAAAGGCTGTAGCATGAAACCTGTAATATAGCTTTTGAAAAGAAATATCTTTATTCTTAAATACTGAAATGTTTCGACCAACCAGGATGGGGGATGCCCAGAACAGTTGTAGGTAAACAGAGAGAGGGGAAAAGTTCATTCCATTTTCAAATACATAAACCGGTGATTATCAATTGATTGAAGTATTTGTAGGATTGAATAATAATGAATGCTTTCTGAACACTGTACAGACTAAAGCAGGATCGTAGACGTCAGGAGCAGTTAGCCAAGGAGCGTTTGGAAGCTGCGAGGAAGAAGAAGAAACTTGGAACCATCCAGGAAGAAGAGGAGGAAGAGCTTGATGTGGTGGACAATGGGGACAAGGCTGCCATGCAGGTTAGTTATGGGAACAAGATTTATCGTTCATCTTGAGTGATAAGTAAACTAATTCATAATACTCTAGTCACACTACCAGACCGACCCTTAACTAACCAACAACATTTGGGCCATTTACAGTTATCTCATTTTTTCACACAATTTTCAGTCTCATGTAGGTCGTATGTCTGTCTTAGTAGTGTAACAGGGATATTACATGAAGCATAAATTCTGATTGGATTACTGATCCAAATAGTGTACGTGCCTTAACATGTTGCATAGACTACCTTCCCCCACTTTTATTTCTTGTATCCGTCAAATTAGGTAAAGATGTATGAGAAGTTATTTTGTATGTGGGGTAAATGTTTTTGAGAAGTATGTAGTGAGACAGAATGGAAAAAAATGCACATGAATATTATAAAGCATCTAATTAGCATTTATGTTTGTGATTAAAAACTACCCAACATTCACTCCGCTAATTACTCCGATCATTATTTTGCCCAAGATACAGTATTAAGCTTAAGATCACAATTGGGTTTTGGATTAGGTTTGGGGTTAAGATTGGGTTCAGGTTTAGTGTCTGGTACAGGGTTGAAGTTAGGAATTTGGTATATACAGGAAATTGTCCTCCATGTTAATATTCCCTGAGATATGTTGTAGGACCTAAATCTCCTATGTTTCATAGAAGATGAAGATCAAAGTAATCTGTTAATCTTTCTCTGGTAGTTATGTGTTGCATCCTTCTATACCATTTATTCATGAATATATTTTACCTTTAAACAATCATCCTGTATTCTGCGATTAGGATGCTGTACTGAAGATGTTTGAGATCAAGCATGAGAAAGAGAGAGCAGCTCTGCTTCGTCTCCTCCAGCATGAGTTCAGTGAAGAGGAGAGATTTGTTGCAGAGAATCTCATGAATGAGTCTAGAGCTGACAAACAACAAGAGATCTGGAAACAGAGAAAGCAACTCGACTTGAGTGAGTGCTCTGAATAAATAATAAGAATAATGATAGTAAGAATGTATTGCCTTGTAGAAAATATTTTACTTCTACCCTTGATTAAACTAAGCTGCATCATACACCTGTAGCTTACACAGTAGATTATTCTTACCAAGGATCCAATTTCTACACCAAGGTCGAGAGAGTCAACTTTAGATAAAAGGCTTTGATCTCAGGTTCTGCACACAAAGCAAAGTTGAAAACCACAAACTGGTGATGTTTAGACCCAAATAGAGGAACCACTTTTCTAATGAACAACCACAAAATACATGTGCAACCTTTTGCAGACTATGCCAGAGAATACACGTATTGACAACCATTGATGATTAATAGTCATAGATGATTAATAGTCAGGAGGGTATTTCATAGTATTGTTACTGCTTGCTTTTACGGAGACACATTTAAGCATGAATGGGTTTTGTCTAGAGGGCATTATGTGATATTTAATACTGAATTTATCCCACAAACAGAGTTATAAAAGTTCTCCTTGGACCTACCCATTTTAGGTGTGAGTACAAATCTGAAGGATACAACAATTTTAACAAATATTATGTAATTACAAATAATATGATAATTTACGTATGAATTTGTTCCCCTTGATTTTTCTTTTAGATGACAAAGAGGAGCATTTTAAGCTCCTCTTGGAAGCAGCCATCCTGAAGCTAGTGTCTCGTCGTAAGCTGCTACAGTCCACAAGTTCAGAGGTCACTGCAGATGAGGTCATTGTGTCCATTATGGCTGATCTACAGCTTCATCAAGACAAAGAGAGCGAGGCAATCATGCAGACCCTTCCTGATAAGGTGAGAACTTTCAGCAAAATGTCAGGAAAGTACTTAAATTAATGGGATCGTTTTGTGCAATGTATCGTATGTTACCAGTAATCTCATCAGGGTACTCATTTTCAGTTGTGAAAATTGAGAAGAGAAAGATTTGACATTTTGAATATATAATGGGCAACTGCTTTTTCTTATTTCTTCCCAAAAATTAATAATTTGCTTTTTGTATATCACATAACTTAAGAAAAGTGGGTGAATTTTTGATGTTTATCACTCAGGGATTCTGTATGACTCAAATTTAGTAAAAGGAAAACTATAATTTCAAATTTGGATTTCTTTTTTTGTTTCACTGGCTGTTTCACTGGCTGAGTGAAACTGATTGAAACTGATGAGTGATAATAGTGCTTATTAATTAGGATGCTGGGAAAGCAAGCATATTGTTTAAGATATTGATAAACCAAATGACATTTATTAATTGATTGAAGCAAAAAGCAGATTGATATCTTACCCTCGGGCAGTTGTAAACCATAGACTGCTCTAGTAATAATAATTAATAATAATTACATTTATAGGGCGCTTAATACAGGCATTTCTAAGCACACAGGTGGTACTGTCTAACTCAGTGTAATTAGTCAACACGTTCAATAGCTTAAAAGCAATAAATAAAATGAAATAATAGTTTGCTTATTGATGATCTCTTGTTTTCTCCTGCAGGAGCTTGGAGCGCTGAAGAAGCTTCAGAAGGAGTCCCTGGAGGCCATCAGACTGGAGAAACATGAGAACGTTGCCGTGGTGATCACCAGTACAGACCTTGGTACTCAGGCTGATGAAAGTCAGCTGGTGGAAGCTCTAGAAGCTAAATATGATGCTCTCAAGGATAAGCTACTTGCTGATGCACTCATGAAACAGGTATGCATCACACATATGACACTTATCACCGATGGGATTATGAAATCTCCTTACTCAATTTCTGGCTTTTCAAGAAATGATGTTATTGCTTAGAGTTTATTTGATGTTCTGATAAAAAAATATCTAAAGGATAATATTCTTCAAAAATGCCAGATGTATAAGGAAGATCGTCAGTACCTTTGTTAATAAGTTAGACATTAAATTTTTTTCTCTCTCACTGAAATTTAAATTTGTTAGTTTTTAAAATAGCCCCATCCACAATGTTTGTTCTTAAATACATGTAAACGTTTTTCGAAACCTTTGCAAAACATTGTAATAAATATGGTGATGGTGCAAACTGTAATATGTCAAACAGCATTACATTATTACAGCAGAATATTCATGAGTGATTTATTGCTATGGACAGAAAAGTAGATAGTAATGTAGAGAGACAGATCACTCAATTGATAGATGAATAGATAGGTAGATCATAGATCAATAGATAGGTTGATAGATGGATAGATAAATTGATAGGCAGATTACATTAAGTAAGAGATATATAGATGAAGATCAATGATCTTACTCTATCATTAATGTTGTTTCCTATAACCAAGATGGGTGAAGGTGAATGGGCTCGTCTATCAGAGAAAGAACGTCAGCTACGTCTGATGAAGCTCAAGCTAGAGGAGCGGCGCCTAAGACAGGAGGGCAAGATGGATGAAGCCGCTGCCCTCCTGGGAGATGCTCTCAAATCACAGAACGCCCTCGAGGCTCTCATGGGCGAGTCTAAGAAGGCGCAGGAAGAGAAGCTAAGGTTGAGGCTTGAGAAACGCAAGCAGAGACTAGCTCAAGGTAATACATATATTCATATGATGCTAGTTGGTGTTTGTCAATCTAGAAGACACTATCGCATTAACTTGCTTTGAGCCAAAAAGATGCCCTTGCGTCACTGTTAGGTGGTTGTTAGATCCATCCTTAATTTGCAAGATAATGGCATGTTATATGAGACTGCCCCCCTCAACCCATGGATGTTATATGAAACTGCCCCTCTCAATCCATGGATGTTGAATAGCTGCCTTTTGTTGATAGCTTTCAAGCTGAAGGCTGAAGCCATGGCTAAGTTTCGCAAAGGGAATTAGAGATTGTGTGAAATATGTTAATCAGAAGCACAATTACTGATTTCGATTACATGAGGAGAGTCCAAGAGTGATGTTAATACTTCAAATTATGTAATCTTCCAAGAGACATTTGTACAGGAATTTTTAATTATGAAATAGAACTTCGTGTAACACAGAATTACACTTCAACACAGAGATAACACTCTTTTGGCTCTTGGTAATCAATATGGAATTCTTGTTGTACAATGAAATTTATACCTTAGATCCGATCACACCACTGTCCTTGTTTTTCAATCGTTTAGGAATGAGTGAAGAGGATATAGATCAGCTGGAGGAAGAGGAGATCAAACAGGAGGAGGAAGAACTGAAGAAACAACGAAGAAATATCCTTCTGGACCTTGACAACAGATTAGAAGATGTAAGTTAACTTTAATAAAGAAATCTTATAAGCCTACATTTGTTTTTTAAACTTTGTGTCAGTATTGTTTTGAAGATTGATAGAAAGGCTGTATACCTTTAAAACGAAAGTAATGAAAGGACATGGTGACAGGCAGGAGGATGTTGATGATGATGTAAATGATGACAGTGATGTTGATGTTGATGATTATGATGTTGATTATGAAAAGAATGGTGATAAAGATGATGATTATTAGGAGGAGGATGTGAAAATGACATAGATGATAGTGGTGCTTTTTATCAATTTGCATTGCAGGAGAAAGCAGCCCTGTTGGCCGCTCTGCGAGGTCAGGGCGACAGACTTCAGAGTGAGAAGGAGAGACAAGCAGAGCTAGCCAGGCTGAGAAGAGAACAGAGAAAAGCAAGGCAGGAGGATAAGTTTGAAGCTGCTGCTCTTGTCATGGGGCTAGCACAGAAAGCAGATGATGCGTAAGTTACATAGGAATGAAACTACCAGTCAACCCAAGATGGTGGCATATGCCTTATTTTCAACTTTGTTTCACAAGTCACCAGTTATGTACCTTATCATCATTATTTTATACTGGTTATTCACAAATGCACTATTTAGTCAGAGTCAAACAAATCTCAATATTTTCATTGCTGCTATTTGGAATGGTCTTTTTGTCAGAAATTGCAGTTATGTCCTCTGTTTCCTGTATGATAACAGCATGACAATCTTGTCATTTGGCCATTATAGGAAGGAGAAAGACCGTAAGCGACAAGAGCAGCTGGCCAAGGAGCGTCTGGCTCAGAGACGTCGCCTGAAGGCAGCTGCCACAGAGACCAAGGAGACTGTGACCCCTGTGATGCTGCCAGAGAATGAGAATGACAAGCAGGGTTTGCAGGAGGCTGTGATTCAAGAGATGGAGATGAAACACTCAACTGAGAGAGATTTCCTCATGCAGGTGAGATGGGATGGGGGTTTGATTGGTGGTATTTGTAGTGGTGGTGCTGGTGGTGGTGATCATGATGATGGTGATGATTATGATGGTGATAACGGTTAGGAGGATGATGATGGTAATAACGGTTAGGAGGATGATGATGATGATGATGATGATGATGATGATGATAATGATGATGATGATGATGATGACAGTGATCATTTGTGACAAGCAGGCTTTGCAAGAGGCTGTGATCCAGAAAATGAAGATGAAACATGCTACTAAGAGAGATTTCCTCATGCAGGTGAGAGGTGGTGGTGAGGAGGAGGAGGATAGATCGTGGTTTGTGATGATGATAGATGGTGGTGATGATGATAAAAGGAGGAGGAGGAGGAGGAGCAAGATTACGATGGTGCTAATGATGTTTATAATGATGTTTATTATGGTAATTTAGATGGATATAGTGGTGATGATGAAGAGGTGACGTTGGTGATTAAGCATGTGATGATGATATTATTTTGTCCAGAATCTTAAGTAGAATGAAGAACTATCCAACTAAGTTGAAAGGAACCAGATATTTAACTCTTTGAAAATTAATGTGCAAAAAGGCCTACACCATGCAGGTGTCTAATGAATCCCATTTAGTCCATGGAAATTTTAGTTCAGTTTTAATGAAGCATACAGTTCAAGGGCTCTAAATCTGAATTTGAAATTTGTTGTAATGTTAATCAGCAATCATTTAAACATTTTAAACTTTTTTAAAAAATTCATGATTGAGAAAATGTAAGCTCTCATGCTTTCATCTTATGTTCCTTTGCAGCTGGTGCAAGATGAGAGCCAGGGAGATCTCAGGAAAACAGCAGGGCTTATGTCTGAGGACAAACGTCAACAGAAACTTGGTGAACTGAAGGAGCAGCGTCGACAGTGGAGGGAAAGTGGACCCACCAAGGAGACTGAGGATGAACAGACAGATATTCTCCGGGTCAGTCATCTCTTTCTCTATCTATCTCGCCTTCCGTTTTCTCTTTCTCCCCCAGTTGACTTCTTTCTCATGCCTGCTTGCTCTCTCTCATAACGCTATTCTCTCACTTTCCTTCTCTTTTCTGTTCTGTTCCATTTCTTTTCTCCCAATTAATGATTTGGTAAATTATAGAAGGTACTGATAACAAGTTTTTGAGAAGCTGAAATATGATGTGTAAATCTTTTAGGGTTAAATCTGATGTATTACACCATGTAATGAAAGTATACAATATTACTAAATAAAAAGCGACATAAAAGAGAAAAAAAAGAACCCTGATTATAAAAAAGAAGTCTTCAGATTTCATATAGAGATGTGAGTTGAGCAGGTATTGATCTCTCTGGTTGTGCTAAACGTTAAACAGGTTCAAATCTTTTTGTGTCTTTCACGTAGTGACATTATTGTTCAGTACCTGGAAAATAATCAGATCTGATTGATACATTTCCAGAAGCCTTAACTCACTAATAAGCAAACTCCTTTTCTTTCTTTTCTTCTGTCTTTCATCTTCTTTTTGTCTTCTTTCATTTTTTATTATTTCTTTTTTTTTTTACTTAGACCATGGCCCCATCTTATAAAGAGTTGCAATTGATCTGAATCAATCTCAAGTTTACAGTCTCCTATTTGATATGTATATAGATGCCATTGTGCATAAGACGGGGCCCAGATCTTCATTTATAACATTTGAATTTATTTTGATTTTGGATTCTAACACGCAGAAAGGAGTAGCTGTCTTGCTTGAAAGTCGTCTCATTGGGATGAAAGTTATCCAGGGTGGAGAGGCCACTGACGGGGACGTAGAGGTCAGTCTCATCGCTGACCTTCAGGAGAAACAGGACAAAGAGGCTGGCTATCTCATGGATGATCTTGAGAGCAAGGTAAGAAATGGCCTCCTAAGAGCCACAGAAGATTAGCAAAATCAGGATTTAAAGGGAGACTTGGATTAGCAGAACTTGTAATTGAAGAGTGCATGCATAGATCAATGAAGCCATATATCCTGGGCCTATACTGCACCTGTCATTTATTCATCTCCATCGTTATAGTAGAATCCTTGATCCTGATCAATGTGAGGTGTCTACATACAGTGTACAGATCATGTGAAGATAAAGAAAGAGGGAAACTGAAGGTGCTTCAAACATTAAGTTGTTACTCATTTAACCCCAGATTTTACAGTATATTTTTGAAGATATATACATCTACTGATATAGGATGTCACAAAAAAGTGCATTGATATTTCTTCAGGTTTATATCCAACAAGCAAATGTGATGTTATGTATTTGAATGTGCCATGAATGATGCATAGAACATATGATTAAGAATATGAGTTGTATGTACACTGGAATTTTATCTCTTGAAAGTCGCTGTGAAACAAACTTAATGTTTTTCTCCAATATTCTCTTAACCTCTGACCTTTCTTGACCTCTCCCCTCAGAGTGCAATGACCTTAAAGCAGTTGAAGCAGGTGCAGTTCATCGCCCGAGCCAACGGATGGAATGACAATGTGGCTGCCACCGTCCTGGTGACCAAGTCTGATACAGAGATGGTGACTGAGGAACAACTCTTGAAAGCTTTGGAGAGCAAATATGATGTGATGAGAGATAAACTACTGGCAGAGGTGAGACCCCTGCAATTCTGTTGTTGGTAGGACTAGGGAATTGTTTATGTCTTTTTGTTATTTTGGGTGGGGGGGGGGGGTGGACAGCAACCTCAAGTCCATATTGGAGACTCATTATTAGGGACTTTTAGATTTGCGTGGACTGATACGTGTCACGTCCATTCAAGGCAGTGCATTAAAAGGACGTCGACCGTAGCCATCCCCATTGTCTTTGTGCGAATCTAAAACTGCTAGTTCTTTGCAGGCAGTGACTTTGTCCAGTCCCACTAATTCTGAGAGCCTTCCGTTGATAGATTACTTTCATACTTACAATGTTTATTGTTTTTATTTCTATTAATCTTGTATCTGTAGGCTTTGATCAAGCAGACAGGCGAAGCAGAGTGGGCCAAGCTCACTGAACGTGAGCGTCAGGCTCGTCTTATGAAACTCAAACTCCAGGAACGTAAGATGAGACAGGAGAATAAGTTTGATGAGGCCAACTCCCTTCTCAGTCAGGGTATCAAGGATCAAGCAGGTAGGGGACTTAGATGATGATGATGATGATGATGATGATGATGATGATGATGATGATGATGATGATGATGATGATGATGATGATGATGATGATAATGACAATAACATCATTCAAACCCTCACTCAAACAATCAAACAGTCAATCAAACATTCACAAAACTGTAGTTCTAAATTTCAATTAATTTTTTGTAATAAAAATTAGTCCAAAAGGCGATTGGGATTAAGTGTAAAGCGACAATGGTAGGTTATTTTACTTAGCGTTCTCCTCAAGTTATAATTTTCAGGTTATTCATACTGCGGTGTGAAAAATTATTATTATTCCTATTAGAAATTAGCAATATTATTTCTCTTTCTGTATGTTAATGATAACCTTTCAGGAAGGGTGTTCCAAGATATTATGACAAACATTTCAATTCCTTTCATGATTGCTTTTATATCTAAATGCTAAGTAGCACCGTTAACTTCATCCACATTTATTGACATTGTAGTGTATTGGTAATCAATCTATGAAGGTTCATTAATATAACAAAGAAAGTTTGCAAAAAAATGTTGAATTCTTTCGTGACTTAAAAACTTGTTAACATCTTCCCATCATACATAAAATTTGGAATTGATTTTTCAGAACTGGCTCGGTTGCTAGGGGCAACCAAGACGGAGCAGGAGGAGAAGTTAAAGCAGCGTCTTGAGAGAAAGAAGCAGTTGAAGGAGGAACGTGAGGCCCAAGGATTGGAGGCCAATGATGAGGTGTTGGATGAGATCGTTCAACATGAGATGTCTCGAAAAGAAATCTTGGAAGACAGAAAGAAGAGACATGTAAGTGGCTCATTACTCTCTCTCTCTCTCTCTCTCTCTCTCTCTCTCTTTCTCATGTTCTCTGACAATGGTTCAATGTTGTTTTTGTCTCTTTCTCTTTTTTTCACTCTTTCTCTTCATTTCTTTCTTCTTTCTCTCTCTGCCTCTTTATCTTTCTTTTTTCCCCTCTCTAGCTCTTCTCTCCCTCTCTTTCTCTCTCTCTCTCTCTCTCTCTTGCTTTCTCCTGCTTTTGTCTCTCTTTTGATCTATCTCTTTCCCATGTTCATCATTGTATTTTGAGTAGTAATATATGAAATATCCGGTCTGTTTTCATCTTGGAGTAATATCATGCTCCTTTTTATATTTTTTTCTCCAAACTTTAGCATACAAAGTAAATGTCCCAAGCGAATGTACAGTAGTCTGCGGCTTTTTTTTTCTGATTTTCAAACATCGACATGACAGACAAGCTCTATGCATGGTAGTTTATGAGCTGACATCTCATAAATATTGAGCTACATGTAATCATATAATATCTTTCTCTCTTGTGATGCTAGAACATTCTTGAAGGACTAAACAACCACTTTGAGGATGAGAAGAATGCTCTGCTGGCTGCGTTGAGGAGTCAGGACGATACCCTGCAGAGTGAGAAGGAGAGACAGCTGGCCCTGGCTAAGCTGAGGAGGGACCAACGCAAGCTGCAGGATGAAGAGAAGTTTGAGGCAGCTGCTGCCCTCTTTGGATTGGCACAGCAGCATGAGAAGACCAGAGAGGCCAAGTAAGTCCACAGAAATAGAATTTGTGAGACATGTCTGTAAATACACAAGTATATAGATCGCTAGAAATGTACATGTAGTATTTAGCATGTTGTAATTGTCATTGTCATCATATCTATCACTCTTACTGGGATTTTCCAGAAGTTAAAAAGGTACAATAGCAAGAAAACAAAAATTTGAATCATTTGGACATTGATATAGGATCTGGTAGTAGCACATAGTGTACAAACATTTATACATGCATCACTCGTATGTAAATTTAGACCAATATGTAGCAGTAATTGGTCATTGATCAAACTTATTGGATAAACTATATATAATTGCATTTTTTACATTTTCGCAACATTTATCTAATTATATAAGCATGATTTATAAAGGCATTACAAATGTAGGGAAATATACTTTATTCTTCCATAAATTTTCTCAAATCTCACCAGAGTGAATTTCTTCAACTTCAATTGTCAGTTAATCGAGAGCCAGAAGGGCGTTAAAGTCTGCTAAACTATACGATTAATGCCTTTCTGGCTCCTGCAGACGATATGGTATGTAAAGCAGTGCAGAAAGAGTTTATATGTGTCCTTGAATGTGAATTGCTCCCACTTGCTTTCACCTTGACTTAATCCTGTTTTGTTATTACTCCACCTCCATCCGTAGCTACGAGAAGGACAAGGAGCGTCAAAAGCAGCTTGCTAGGGAGAGGCTGGCAGCTAGGAGAGCCAAGATGGCTGGTGATGAGAAAGGGGAGCAGGCCAAGCATCTTACTAGGTCTGACATCCAAGAACAGCTCTTGCTGGAGGAGAAGGAGAATGCCAAAGCAGATGCAGCGCATGCCACCAAGTCAGGTAAGAGGCATTCCTCTCAAGCTTACATGTATACATGCGTTGGTGGGAATGTGATCATAATTCACTATCTCATAATACTTTAGTGGAGGTTTTTCTTAGGAGTAAGGAGATTTGTTTAAGATTTACTTTTAGAATTGCTCTACAATTACTTGCAAACTAATCTGTCTTTCATTAGAGCATTTGGCAGAGTTATGTAAAATTTCAGTTATTTCTTTGAATGACTTTCAATCTACTCTGAACTTCATGACCTTTATACTATATTTTTTTTAATTTTGTCCAAAGAGCAAGAATGAAAATATTGTGTTTTTTTAGTTTTAATTATTTACTAAGGAAATAAATAAAAGTAATCCAGGGTAAATAATTCATTTTATAAAGTAGAACTTTTCATATGAATTCAAGACTTTTGCATTTGTCAACACTAACTGATTCTAATAAGCCATTTATTTATTTCTATATACAATTTACTAATGCACCAACTTATACCTCAGAAAGTTGCATTCTTTTTGACTGATCAATATTGTTTTATTCACTTCATTTACATGGTTTCCTTTTTGATAGAATAGTTTGCACTTTCATATCCTCATACTCACCTCATTTACATCTACTTAAAGTTGCTTACAGTTCAGAAAAGATTTTTACTTCATCTACATTTGCATCATCTACATTTGCATTAAACAAATGTTGAAGGCAAGAATGCACTTTATTAAATGATAAACCTACCATTTTTGTTGTGGCTGATATAAGAGTTTTAGATCAAATATGAGCTAGGGGTAATTGTTCCTGCAAGGGTGAAACTGAAGAAATTGAAACCTTCGTTAGAGGCAAGGATTGTGCCAATTTGTAGACGGCTGCTTATTCCTATTTAGGTGCATGTGAATTAGTTGTTTTTTGCCTGTATTATATATTTCTTAGGAATTATTACCACATTTTTCTAGTAATCTACTATTCATTTATTGATGCTAATGCTTGCCCATGTGATAGTTGCAATTATGTTGACGATAACAGAGTCAATTGTGTCACATTATTTTTCATTATATACCTCACTTAAGAAATCCAGCCATCTGATTGGTCGAAATTGCATTCATAAACTTTAACTATTCCTGTAAAATTCCCGGTAAAATTCCCGGTAAAATTCCAAACCCATGTAATAGTTTTAAAAAATAGTTCTAAAATCCCAGTAACCATGGTTACCCATAGGTTTACATGTTTAAAATGGTTTGAGTAATCAAGGATACCGTACGTGTGCGAAGAATTGGTCGGTATTTTCATACAAGACAAGACAATTCCAAACAAGACAAAAATGGCTAAAGAAACTCTCCCAAGATTTCAACTTATCAAATGCAAGACTCGCTGATAGCAAGAACAACAAAAAGGGTACGTGAAATTATCCATAAAAATGTTCGTTTAGTTGCTGAAAAAGCATAGACATAGACAAAAATGGATCTAGAGTCTAGTAGTCAGGGTGTCTGATCGCGCACCCGATGTTGTGTGTTAAAATTCTTCCCATAGAGATTGCACGCAATGCAGTCTCTATGCAGTCTATGAAGTCAAGTTTTTGTTTTCAATTCGAGATTCAAACCTTTATCTGTTGTGATCCTGAAGGTGATACTCAATAAGTGAGGTGTCATATGAAAGCGCAGGTTCTTCTCCATATTACCCACAGGGCCGGCCCACCCCCAAAATTGTAAAAATATCTTGCTTAGACTAGAATCTAGATCTAGTCTACTCTCAAAGATACACTCATAAAAAACAACCGTGCAGATAAACTAGAAAAAGGCCAAGGTGGTGTCATTAGTTGACTCTTTTGTTTTCGGCATATAAAAGTATTTAATGACTGCTTTAATATTCGAGAAATAGTTGCTTTTTATACGCTCTCGGGAAGGTTACAATTGGGCTATTGCCCTCGGCACGCCTCGGGCAATAGCACAATTCTAACCTTCCCTTGAGCGTATAAAAACAACTATTTCTCTCAAAGCAGTCATTAATACTATATTATTTTCTTCCTTTATCCTGAATTAGTTGTTTGTTTATAATTTGAACACATATAACGATAAGATTATAAAAGTCCTAAATGAATCTTTTTGATACGTCATAATAAAGACATTTCTATTTGAATCTAACACTTGCATTTGATAACATTGACCCATTCTAACTAACAAGGATTCAATCTTGCATGACGTAACCCTTTATATATATATATATATATATATATATATATATATTAACACCATATTAAAGCTGCATTTAGACAGAATGCTAGATAGCTCACTAGATAGACATGACACTTTAACCTACTAATAAGATCCATTCAGTGGGAGAACTTATTTCATTGTATCACCTCATGTGCATTGCTTCCATCATGTGTGCACCATCTCCATCTACCTTATGATCAACTACATCAGCCAAGGGAGATGTTCTTGTTATGAATCAAGGTAATTCAAATTGAAGGCAAGATGATAAGCACCAATTCATTTGACACTTCCATTAGTTATTATTTTTATTGCATAAATTAAGTTTAGTGTACTGCTTGTCCAAGGTATGTTCACAGATTGGATTTTAATGCCTGGCTTTGCCTTGTCTGTTTTCACCTCTTTTTTGTGTGAACATTTTACTGGAATGGTAATGAAGTTATGAATTATGCATTTCATTTAAAAGAAATATGATAATTTTGGATGTATGCTAACAAATGATATTATGTAGTAAATTTCTTCTGCAAAATTGGTTCCATTTCAATTTTGTGTAAAAAAAAAATTTTAATTCACAAACACATGTTAAAATACATCATCAAGATTTGGTAAAAACTTAATTGTAAACATTATAGTAGGTAAACATATGTCCAGATCCTTTAAATTTTACAAAGTGACTTGTGATGAAATGCATTTTGCCCATCACTTTCCCCTTTTTTACTTTCTAGTCATATATCAGAGCAAGGGTTTTTTTGTGTTCTTAAGAGTTTCTTAATTCTTGATGCCAAAATGTATAATAGTTTGTCATTCCCTTTAATATGTACTAACACATCCATGCATACATTATCTATGTGTATGTATGAGGGAAAGTCCAAGGTTAGTTAATATCCCATACATTACAAGGTATAAGGGTGGCTCAAACATTTATTGATATCAGCATTAATATTTTACTGGATATGTGGTCTTAACCCTGCTGTAGGAAGGCCATCATCTTAATACACTGATTAGTTACACTAACTTCATAGATGTGGTCCGTAATGTATGGGACCATGTAACTAATTGGACATGTATTGCAATGACTTGAAATTAATCATCTTATCACGACTCTGTTTGCACCTAAGATCCGGTATCCCTTGTTTCTACGGTAATGGATGAGGTAGATAAAAAGCAGAGCAGTGAGCGAGATGTCCTGGTCACTCTCATAGATGGTGCCATGGCTAACTCAAAGGAACGCACAAGGCTGGAGGAACTAGCTCTCAAGGTAGGCTAGCTTGCTTCAAAATCCAAACATTGTTTCAAGTTTCAAGTTTATTTGTTTCACATTTCACAAAAAAGTATTCACATGATTGACAAAATTAGAGCATAATATGAAATATACTAAAAGTGTCACATTATATAATTAATTCTTTGAAAAGAAGTCGAAATTAATTGTATTGAATAGAAGGTTATACAGGGTGAAATGTGAGGAACCTATTAAAACATTGTTAGATCATAGATGGATAAGTGTACTCCATTAAAGTTTTTTTTTTTTCTATATCAAGTACCTCCTGCACAGCTTTACAGCATAGATGAGATGAAGTGATAATCAGTAACTTGAAACACTATGCAATCAAGACCTGCTAGTACACTTTTTCATAACCATTGTATCCATACAGCTGTTATCATGGACTCCTTCAAAGAAATACTCGAGACGTATTTCTTCACTTTAAAGAACTAACCATCATGTCAATTTATCTTTTTCAAATAATTTACGTTGTTCTGATACTGTGAATGATATAAGCAGTGCTCCTACCGATTTGAACTGTTACATATGTTAGATATTGGAGCAGATACCATCACTATATAGATTATTGTGTTGTGATAAAGTGACTCATTCACTTGACTCTAAATCCAAGGGTTGAGGGTTCAAATCTAAGCTTAACACTAATGTCCTTTGGCAAGACATTAACCAACAATTAACCACTCTCCACCCAGGTGTGAATGGGTACCTGGCAATCGCTAGGGTAATAGTAAGTGCAGGGCCCTCAGGAAGAACAGCGTTGAAGGTGATACGGCTTCCCTGGGTAAACAAAATTATTATTGTTATAATTATTATCATATTATTAACATCATATCTTATTTTATCAAGATATGTTTTTCTGTAAGACCCAAAACTACCACCATATCATAGAAAGGGTGTATATATATGTCCACATATTTAAAGGAATTTCATGTTGTTTGGTAGGTAATTTTTTTCATTGTTTTTAGCTGGATCATGCTGTAAGTAAAGCACATAATAGAACCAGTAATCAATAATGCTAAAACCAAATCATGCATGCATTGACCCAGGACCTGTTAGCCCAGCTGGAAGCCCTGAAAGAGGAGAGACGTCAGCTGCGTGAGGATTCTGATCTGGAGTTTGGTGATGTAGACGTGAGTGGGCTTAGTGATGAGGAGCTATCCAGACATCTCACACAGGTCTCTGAGTATCAGGAGCAGCAGCATCGACTCCTCAAGAGCGCTATAAACATCAAGATAGAAAGTAAGCATATTATAGCATCTGAACACTGTAAACACAGATAACTGTCATGAATCATTCACAATGGCCATTGTCACTGCAAGAATTTTCTCTTTTTTTACAATTTGGATAAATTCAGTGTGTTAATGATGTAGAGAATTGAAGTGTACATACGTAGACCATTCTTGGAACTTGTGAAAGTTTTATGTACACATAGATATTACATTACTTTAATGATCACCGAATGAAAGAGAGAGAGAGAGAGAGGGACAGAGAATGACAGACCGTCGGATAGATAGACAGACATATGAACAGACATAGAAGAAACAAGATTCCACAGCTTCTTAAATGTCATTAAAAATCTTATCTCCCAGGACAAAGACCAAAATTATAAAATCTCCTATCCTCTCCCAAATTGTTCTTCTACCCACCAGTGATGCGGCGTTCCTTGATTGAGGAGAAGCGTTTATCACTAGAAGAGATTGAGGAGGAGCTTGCTGTCATGATGTTATCAGAGCTTCAACAGAAACAGAGTGTAGAGGTCAATGCTCTTCATCATGTTCTAGAGGGCTTCCCGGTTAGTTATCCCATCTATTATCATACTTCACTTCTACCCTTATTTAGATCTCACTTGCACACCAGCAAAGTTAGTTCTCTCATTTGTTAGTAAATGTTTAAAAATCTTTTTTTTGTAATGCATTATCATATTCTGTTGCATTATGTTTTCGTTATTCATATCCTTTTTTTTTATCAGCTGCTTTGCTTTGAATTCATTGTCAAAAATTGTTGAGCAACACAGTCAAACATTTTTATCATGCTTCTTGCTTGTTTTCTTAGATATGTATTACTACATAGTTCTTTCAATGCTTTCCCTATAAATATATATACATGCAGTTACAGATGCTTTCATAGTGCTCCTACTTTGCCATACTTATTGCATATTAATGGAATTTTCCTGAAGTTTAATAAAAGTGCATATCTCATATAAATGTATATCTCATTCACAACTTACCTGTAGTTTTTATAAGCTGAAGGCAGGTATCTGTTTGCAAAGTAGATAATAAACTTGCATGTATTATTTACTTCACTATTGCCAGCCATTTAAGCATTATACATTATAAGTTTGCCTCACTTGTTTATAACTTTTCACATATAAATCTTTGCTCAATATGATGAACATGAATATTCCATTTAGGAGAAATTACCTTTTTTAAACAATATGTAATGACGCAAAATATGTCAATTGATATGTTTGAAATGAAAGCAAGAGTGTTTTGTCTTCAAAATTGACTTTACTTCTTAAATCTTTGTAATAAAACAAAAGAATTGTGATATAATTATGTCCCATTGTGAGATTTCTATTCTCTCAAATGATTGTATATAAAATAACCCCCCCCCCCCCCTCCACAATATAAATGGAATATTCATGTTCAGCTTAGCTCTTTCACAGACCCTTCTGAGAGTAACTGTAGTGCCTAATAGCCTCTGCAAATAATATGTCTTTTCTGTCAATCATGATACAGTATTTGCAGAAGTTTATTATAGCACTCATTACTTCTCAGAGGGGAGTAGCTATTCTCATGCAGCATTATAATCAAACTATATCTCTAATCACCATTACTTTCCTCTGCGATTCACACTCCTGCCTCGATCTCCACCATCCTCTTCACATTCCATCCATCAGGGGGATAATAGCAAACCCCAGGGCCATCCAGGTGGCATAGATAAGCGACATAGTATGGCATCGATAGCGTCTGGTGTGGGACACTCATTCAAAGAATTATTCTTCTCAGAATCCACTGAAGTCATTAAGGTAACGTGCACATCAGACCAATGATGTGAGCTAGGGCCTGTCCTCTACATATTCTACATTCACTTCTCTCCATGTCATATATATGCTTCTCTTATTTTCATTATCCATATTGCATCATATTAGAAAAGCTATCACCTCTTGCATCCAAAATACATATTGTAGCATTATGCCTTAGAATGCTTTAGAAAAGCCTTAGAATTCTTCCAATACTTTTATTTCATTTTACAGATTTCATAGTTATTCAGATTTGTGTAGGGGTAGGTATTCTAATGGCCCTGTTATTTTATTTTATTTCATGTAAATAAGCTTATAAATATGGTATCCGGGAAGTCAAGTTGTTTGCAGAATAAAGAAAAGTTGTTTGACACACAAAGGAGGATAGTACAAAAGAGGTTGTTTTCAAATGCATTTGTTTTTATGATCCAATAAAGCTTTGTCTTTAGTCACAGCTAATTCATTCAAGTCTGCATATCTCAAGGATTCAAGCATTTCTGAACTCAGCCTTCCCAAAATGAATTCTTTGCACACGACTGAATCTCAAATGCAGCTCTTGTAAAGTCTATTGAAAGAGTTTGACACAGTTAAAATGGATAATGTATTTTTTTAGACATCACTGATAAATCAGATACTTTAGGCTATAAGAGTCTATTGGTGATTTCTGGACCAGATTTGATCGAAGTAAGTTCTCTTCATTTTCTTAAGACTGGATAGTCACACCATGCAGGAATGGCATGTTTGGGCAAGTCCAAGGTATCCCATATACCTTCCCAAGAGAAAGAAACATAAACTAACATTATAGGTCACAATTGTAATTTCCTTGTTATTAGGCCTGATCCAAGCCCTATTAGGACTGTCAACATTACTTAGGTATACTTACAACTCTGATGATGTCCTGGATGCATGACAGTAACATTCAGGATGGATTACTGAAGACTTCCCCATTTACACTAAGTCCATACCTTTACCTCCCTTTCAATCATTCATCATAGAATGAAGAGTTCCTTCACCAGATGAAGGTCACCCAGCGCAGAGCTCGGCGGGAGGGATGGCTGGACAATGTGGCGGTCACTGTGTTTGACCACACTACGGTCACCCTTGAGATGACCACAGAGATCGAGGAGATGACTAGAAGGATCCAGGCTAGAGAGGGCGCCCTGCTGACCATGGACAAAGAGCTTGAGGAGAAGAAGGCGGAGGTTATGAAGAATGGTGAGTGCAATGTTGGGTCAAAAGGAAAGGCAGTTGTAAAGCCGATGACCCAGCATTTTGTTGTTGCATCAACATTTGCTGCTGTGATTATTTGCCGAGGATTTCAATTTCATCAAAGATATAGCTTTGAGGTTGAAGTTTGAATCAGGTTTAGGTTAGGTTTTGGATTTAGGATTAGGGTTAGGTATAGTTTTTGGTTCAAAGTTGAAGCTAGGATTTGTTTTGGTGTTGGTAATTGACCGCGTTGAGCAGCTCTTGCCTAAGGGTTTACCCAGATTTAAGATCTTTGGACAAATGAAGTGACTTTTATGTTATGGGTAAGTTGAAGGAAAAGTCCCATATGCATCAAATCAAATAGAAGTTTACAGTTTGATCAACTTGATTACCTAACCAGAGCAGTTACATGTCAAAATAACAAGCGAAGTGATGTTTAAATTTCACTATAGATTTTTTTCTTTTGTTAATCATTCAAAAACAAGGTCTTCAATATACTCAAACATATTTTGATTTGTGGAATTGATTAACCATTGAAATACTTATTAATATGCAAGAGTTATGTTATATTTTGTCATTTTGTGTTTTTGCAGAGAGTGGCAGAACTGCAGAGGAACTAGATGCAATGATTGCCAAGCTAGAGAAGGAGTATGCAGATAGAAAGAAGGTAATACCTCCATGTTCATAAAATAATATGAATCATGTTTTACATTTATGCCATATAAATAGTGTGATATTATTATTATTTAATTATTAGTGAACAAGGGGGTAATTGTCAGGGGGTAGGGGGTATAATGACCAAAGGTGTTGTTGTCAGCAAGGTGGTAGTCCTTAATTTCATTTACTCTAGCCAAGTCCTTCCAGTTTCTTGTGATATGATGCACCAGGTCTTCCTATCTGACATGGCATTCCCTAGGTTTTTAACTTCCCGTCCTGTATCTTCTCTGAGCACATCTATATGTGTATTACATATAAGTACAATGTAGAGGTGTTGTGGTCAAGTGGTTAGATCGCCAGACTGTCGATCACAAGGTCTGCGGTTCGAGACCCGCCGCGGCACTAATGTCCTTTGGCAAGACATTGATCTACATTTGCTACACTCAACCCAGGTGATGTAAATGGGTACTTGGCAGGAATTAATTCCTTGGAATGCTAGAGCGCTATAATGGCAGCACAGCTAAAGCCGGGTAATAACCTCCAACTTTGGAAGCGCTTAGTGATTCTATTAAGTGCTATATAAAAGCTGAGTATTATTATTATTAATTTGACTTAAAAAAAAACAATTTACAATCTTGAAAGACCTTTGTAACAGATTTGCGTTTGTGATTTCTGCTCATACTACAGGCTCTTGAGGAGGAGCAGACCAGGGAGAGGAGGCAGGAGGCAGAGATGAAAGATGTCAACCAGGAGCTGGAGCAGAAGGAGCAAGATCTTCAGAACCTGGAGCAGGAGATGCAGGAAGCCATTGAGAACGGTGAGAATCAGAGATGTACAGTCTTACTTGAAGAAGTCAGTCTGATTAATGATTGAGTGCAAGCACTTTGTTATAAGTGAAAAATGATTTTATGATACATAAAGCAAACTTGATCAAACTAGAATGTATGTTTTTATATTGTATGATCTAAACTAATTCACTTTGCATCAATTACTGACATTAGTACAATTTTACAATGGCCCAGTAAAGAGACACACACTCTTGAAGTGGGGTATTAATAGTACCCAGTGTTGTTAGGGTTAAGTTAGTTCTTGAGCTGACTTGACTTAAGATTAAGAGGCAGCTAGAATAATCTTACACCACCTTTTGACTTGACTATAAAGTAAGAGGTAACTTTTAACACTATATCAAAACTGCAATGACTTGATTCAGTCTCAACTCACATCTTAAATGATACATTACTAGACTTGCCATCTCAACTCAATTCATGTCCAAGGCTGTTAGATTTATCATTAAGTCATATTAGAAAACCTCTTTGCGAATAGTAGTATAATCTTCACCTTGACTCTCTCGTTCACTCTCTTTTTTATTTTATTTTTTGGGGGGGGGAGGGAGGGATTGTGCCGTTTGTTAACGTCCAAAACATACTGGTCAGTTTGTGCATCACTAATTAATGTATACTTTGTCACTTCCATTATTTTACAGACAAAAGTAAGTACCAGACGTGACAATGTGAAAGTTTACTAATTCAATTGTGTTTTTGCTTTATTCCCCTATGTCCATTGTGTACAGTATGACTAACAACTGCATGGATGATGTTGATGATGAGTGTGGTTTTGAAGTTGGGATAAAAAAAGGTTTTAGTATTCTATATTTGTTTCCTAATCTTTACTTTCTCATTGTTTTTCTCCCACTCACTCTATTTGATAACTGCAAGCCTTTTAGTGTTGTTCAAGTACTCCTCTCTCTCACCTCCAAAATTGTATAGAGTGTGTGATATTTTATGTCTTGGTCAGATTTGATGTGTCTTGCCAAAGGTGTAGATGAGTAGTTGGTTGATGTGGTAACCAATGTAGGGTACTGGCTGAAAATTGAGATTTGAGGCTATACTTAGTTCAAACTTCCTAATGATAAGAATACAATGATGTAGGATTGTTGTGATTTCCTTTGAGATTGAACCAAAAGAAATGATTTCCTTTGCTCTTAAAATATTGCCCCTTTAGAAGTAATGCGGCTCTATGTTTTGAAATAAAATTGTGGTTTTTCTTTCAAGCTATGTTGAAAGATGTATAACATCAAAACACTCTTACATTTATTTGGGAAGTGTCCTATGGGCAGTGCTGTTTGTGGAAGCACTTGTCAGTGACTATTTGATGTGAAACATGGAAAATGGAAGGAGAAACTTAACAGATATCTTTGGAACCAAATAATTGCTTTTGATAAAAGCAGACAGATTTGCAGAACTGCTCCAAAAAATTGAGGAAAATTAGACAAGAATTTGTTTTAAACATGTGAATCTATATGGAGATTAATATCTGATTTAGACAAATTAGCATGTCGATCAGTCATGAGTTTGTGATGTCATTACTACCGGTTCTCTCAGTTTTCTTTTATATTTGATATGACATGTCATACTGGCATATTGGCAATACTGTAATGTATTGCCAAATTGTCTCCATGAGATAGTAATCTTCATATCATTTACCCCCCCCCCCCCCCCCCCAAAAAAAAAAAAAAAAAAAAAAAAATTACAGCTTTGCTTTTGGCTGATTTTTTTTTCTCTGAATTTTGTGCTTTTATTGAAACAAAAAGTAAGAATGGGGAATGCTGATAGTATTATAAGATGTGAAGTTGTACAACTGTGTTTATCGTCACCACCCAGCTTCCACTAACATGTTTTGTGTAATTCATGTTGTTCATCTGTCAGTTGTGGGATTGCTTGGTTATATTCTGTACAAAGGAAATTGTATTGACAGGAAATGTGAGGTAATGGGTGTAGATGAAAGAGAAATACAGAGGGAGGTAGTTATAAGGAAAGTTAAAGAGAGAAATGGAGAGATGGAGAAAAGGAGAGGAAAGTATGTAAGGCAGACGTTACAAAGAATAGAAAAATTATTGAAACTTGTGTTATTAGAAAAATTGAAATTGGCATTGGAATTGATTACCTAGGGGGAGGGGGAGTAAGATTTTATTATGTTGGTGTTGTTTGTGTAAAAAGACAGTAATGCTTCTAATGCTTCATCACCTACATGTATGTGTCAACATGGCCATATTTGCTGATAGGACGACCTCTCTGTAGACCGGGCTCAATTCTTATTTTTCTATCTCTCCATTTTCAGAGCGTAAACGTCGTCCAAATGAGGAGTTTGATGCCGAGGCTATGATGGCGGAAATTGAGGCTCAGTTTGCTGCTAAGAAAAGGGTAATTCATTTATAAAGATACATGTACCTTGATTAAGGGAAAATGTGTAAGTGAAATATTTCAAAGCTAGTATGATGTATCCTTGTGTTCTATGAAAGCCATTCTATATCATTATTAGAATGTATATATAACATTTTGTTCTACATTTCACTTTGATTGCAGGCTGAAAGAGATTTGATTTATTCTTATATAAGCATTCTGTATGGTATGCAGTGCATTCTTATATAAGCATTCTGTATGGTATGCAGTGCATTCTTATATAAGCATTCTGTATGGTATGCAGTGCATTCTTATATAAGCATTCTGTATGGTATGCAGTGCATTCTTATATAAGCATTCTGTATGGTATGCAGTGCATTCTTATATAAGCATTCTGTATGGTATGCAGTGCATTCTTATATAAGCATTCTGTATGGTATGCAGTGCATTCTTATATAAGCATTCTGTATGGTATGCAGTGCATTACGTACTGAGCCCTTACTATATAAGCATTCTGTATGGTATGCAGTGCATTACATGAGCCCTTACGTATTCAAACAGAGCAAACCAAGAGATCATGAGATAGCAAAATGATATTGCATGGTCCTTGAGGTACTCTTTCACAAAGTGCGAGATATATCTTATCAGGTCGAAATCCTTTCAAACAAATGATCATGAAATGAAATATAGATGTGTTTTCTTTTCATCCTTGCTTGTTAGGCAATGCAAGTTCAGCTTGAGAAGCAGCGTCGTCAGGCGATGGAGAAGATAGCCGCCAGGAAGCAGAGAATGGAAGATAGAAACTATGAAGATGAGATGGCTGTGGCTCTGATTCATGCTGCAGAGAAGAGTAAAACTCAGAAGGAAGAGGCAGCGGTGGAGCAGAAGAACAAACAGAATCAGCTGGTGAGTTATCTCTTCACAAAACAGTTTCTCTGTGTCATTAACTTATGTCGGGGATATAATTTGCAAAGTATATTTACTGATTTTATGTACAGCATGACTTTATTATTCAGTTTTAAAAATAGAAATATCTTATGCAGAATTTAAGTTTTTATGTATGTTGTGTTGTGTTGTGTTGTGTATAACATTTTCAATTGAGATTACTTTGATATATGGAATCAAACACAAATATGATTAGGAGTGGAAAGAAATGGTATTGTAAAATGCTGTGGGTCCCTTAAAAATCTTCAGATTGTGTTTACTAATCTTTACATTTTTTAATTTAATTTAATTTCCTAAATCTCATATGCATCTTAAAGACTTATATTCATTCCAAATGTTGAACAAATGTTGAGTGTAATGATATTATGAGCCAATGCCAGGAATCAACAAATATTTGTAATCTATTCCGATATCCAGATGCAAGACCGCTTGGCTGCCCGGCGAGAACAGAGACGCAAGGCAGCAGAGGAACGGGCAGAAACAGAGAGACTGGCCCAAGAAGAACAGAAGAAGAGAGAGGTCTCTTTTGAAAGAGAGAAGGAGAAGAGGAAGAAGGTATGAGGAAATGCATTATGATCTCTTGATTTCATGATGGTATGTCTATTCTTTCTGATTTCAATTTTCAGTATCTAATGAAAGTCAGAAGACATTAATTCAATGTTATAATTATAACAGATGAGAGTTATGCCCTTCTAGTTCTCAGCAAGGCATTAACTCGTATCATTGTACATAGTGTTAACATCCTTTTGTCTCTCAGCAGATCATATTGAATACTGTATGTGAAGTTAACTTCAAGAATTTGATTCTCCATAACTATACTCTTTTAATGAAATTTGCATGTACCATTTTACATAAGATACAAGAGTAATCAAGATACCAGTTTATCTGTTGAGAGGCAGAAGGATCTAACTCTATGTGAAATAAAAATGAATTAACATCCCTCTAGCTCTCACTAGATGAATTATTGGCCATTAGGAATTAATTTGGGATAATGAGAAGTAAACCAATCAATGATTTAAACAAGTACACCTGTGTATTCCTGTTTCTTAATTATTTGCATGAATCTTGTATCTTGTATTCCTTCACGCCCTATAACTTGATCATCTTATACATCAATCCTATTTCATTCAATCACTTCCTGGAACCAATTAGGTGAACTTTGAAGCCGAGGTAAGCTTTAATTTATGTCAAATCTTTCACTTTTTTTGTTCATAGCACAATAACCATATCAATTGTCTGTTATGTTTAAAGACTGAACTTCCTAACATTCATTTTCTCAGTGGAAAAAAAATTGGGATTTTCTTTGTAAACAGTGTATCAACAACAGTACCATGTACCTGTATGTAGTACTGTCCTTATATTAACAGTGATAGTCATTTCAATTACAAGTTTTCTAATACTAAATGTCTGTGAACATTGAACATTAACATTTGAGAATATGGAATGGGAAGGCAAGTTATCATTTCTATCAACAACACTACCAAAATATATCATATTTTATCCCTAATTTGTTCAATACTCCCACAGTTTATAAATCTCCTGGAAGTCTTATGACTGCATAATGTTGTTGTGTGTGGATGAATTCAGATTTGTCTTTAAGTATGCTATCTAACATGTTAAATGACCCACAGAGTGAATAACTTTTAAGTGTGGACAGATGCACTTTTTGTGTGCAATTTATGCAGCACTATAAATAGGAACTTATATGTAAAACTGACTGCATGTGTACCTGTTTTTAGCCTGTCATCACTGACCCCTCACCCCGGAAGCCTAAGAAAAAGGGCAAGAAAGGGGTGAGTTTTGGGGAACCACCCAAAGCTGACAAAGTGGTGAGTTGATCGAGGTTTGCTTGAAGTTGTTGCAGAAAACAGCCACATGCAAAAGCAAGGCAAGGCTTTGTAGAACCATGCCCCCCCCCCCTCCCCACCCCCTCTCCTCTCATTCTAATGATTTGTATTGCCTGGCAGACAGAGGTTTATTCTTTCAATTTTAACATTGCCATAATTATTACAATGATATAATCCCTTATATTGATTATTAAGCAGATGCATATGCTAAAATATTAAAGATTAACACTTTGGATGTAACTAATAATAATGTCTATATAATTATTAAGAAGATAAAAAAAGAAGAATGTGGTGATTAAATTTGCCAGGTTTTTATAGAAGCACTTTCTGTTCTTGTTAAAACAAGCAGTGTTGTGTTCAAACTACTTGGGAGTTAATAATTATGTCTTTAAAATTTGACTTTCAACTTTCTGGTGCATTTTACACCTGTTATTGCAGTTAAGCTCATTGAAAATGCTATGAAAGATTCTGGGACATGCAGTCTCATTATTCGTGAGAGTTACTATCTCTATAAGTCTGTAGACATGTTATGTCAGGCAATAAAATCACAAGAGTGCAAGTCTTCAAACCCTATCAAGATGGCGCAAACATCTTTGCATGTTCAGTGTTGATACCGGGGAGCATAGAACAAGCCCTATTGCGAAGCTCAAACTATAAGGGCTCCATAACAAGGGCAAAGAACACTCTCAAATTTAGATTGATTGGCTGCAGTACTGTGTGAAAAATCATATCATTTTATTTAACACACTCTTGTTTTTAAAAATGATTAATAGATTTGTAAAAATAGCAGTCAAATGATGTGCTTACTTAAAGCTGTATCTAAAGATGGATGCTAATTAAGAAACGGTCGTACTAAGATCAACATGTATATGAGCACTGAACATGTAGTTCCCTCCTCACACCCCTAATCTATATGAAACTGCAGTGAATGCATGCATGTGCAAGCCAGAGTAAACCATTATCAGTGTCGGCAGTCTCAATTGCTGTTCTTGTATGTGTCAATTAAGTACAGTGTTTTTTAGTGTCAGAATATGCTATTGTTTGGGAATCTTTTTTTTTATGAATCTGGTTGAGATTTTGGATCATCGCGGTATCAATTTGAAATCATGTATGCCGATGAATCATATTATATCTGTTAAAGTGCAGGAAAGCCTTGCATAATCTATGTTGTAAAATAATGTTGTGTAATATGTAGTGAATGCAATGATTCCTGGCCTAAAAATGCTGTTATTGGTGTTTGTTTTGTTTGTTTGTTTTTTTTTTTTTTTTTTTTTGGGGGGGGGGGGTTATCAATCGTGAAAGAGAATTTTAGCCCCTTGGTCATACCTAATTTGAACATTATTGATTGATGAGTAATTTAATGCGCTCACCTTTACTCTTAACAACCTAAAACCTTATGCATGTAGCTTTGATGAGATGATCGTTAGTAAATGTCATCAGAGCATACTGTATGTCAGCCTTGTTAGACCATGTTATCTCTACAATGGAAAAAAACAAACTATGTTCCATGTGTTGAACATTGCTGGTACATTTTGTGAACAACTTTATTTGAGGGATCACACCCTTTGTTTTTGAAAAATTGAAGACTGCACACAAGGTTAAATTAATGCTTTAGAGGTGGTGTTTTTTCCCTGTATAATTAAAGACTTAAAATAAAAGAAATTGTTGCCTGTATGCACATGCCATTCCAGTCTTCAACTGACCTGTACATGAATTGCATATCCACAAGTCCAAATCATCTTCATTTGTGAAACAAAACAAAAACTGTTCTCAAATTTATGGTATGCTGGGATTTGCCATTTAAAAAGAATGTGCGCAGTTAGCTATACACTTCATCACTCAAACCAATCTGAATACCAGTAGGTTTTGGTATGGATGTGCGTGTTAATGTATGAATGTGGATGTGTTGCTGCAGTTTTACATAGCGCTCATAGAATGTTCATCATTATTTCTGTTATGACTTGGGCAAGCTATGTGGCAATATGTACATGTAGGTTCATGTTATGATTGCTTTATACATGTACTCTGGCTCATCGGAATATTGAGATGATAAACGTAATGTAAAATGTATATGCATGTCTTTAGCAGTGTCTTTAATAATTCCCATTATAAAAGAATGCAGATGTACCTGCTATGTTGTTCACCGTGATTGTTTTCTTCACTTTGATTTGCTATTTGTTATGTAATTGTGGGGATGGTTGTGCGTTGCTTGTGTGGAATGTATTTGAATAATCATTACAGCCAAGGAAATGTTTTACATTGAATTAGATTTCATTACAACAGCATGACCATTGAAATGCAAACACTTAAAAACATGAAAGATTATAAGTGAAAAAATAATACATCTAAATAAAGGTGAATTTGGAGAGTAACTGGTTTTTACTGTTGCTGTTATTTGAAGTCATCCAAACATTAATAAAAACAGAGCCATGCCAGCTAAAAAAAATAGTAAATAAAAATGAAAATTGTCTGGGAAGCTAATATTTACATCATGGATTTTTGTTTATGTTCTTGGGATTAGAAACCCCTAATTGCATGAAGGTATGTAGTAAGTCAGAGGGAATAAATAAAAGCAAAATGCGGTTTTACTAACTTTTTTTTTCCACTTGAATATCACATCAATTTCACTTGAAACCTGAACTATTGCATTCCTAGGTAATATCATGTTTATTTTTAACACTGTAATTTTGTAAGTAGAATAAATTTCATGTGAACACTGTCAATGTATATTAAAGTTTCCTCATATATTTGTATATTCCTTTTTTATGTTAAATTGTATGCGCATGTTATGCAATTTGAATGTTATTACCCAGGTTTTAAAGATGTCAAGATTAACCATTCATACATTGCCAAGTGAAGCTCAAGTACAGCATGTAGTGATAATAACAATGTTTATGTTAACTTCTCTCCTTCCCCTCTCTGTCTCACCTAACTCTAGCAGTATATGTAATTCTTTACATAGAGCTGTTAAACTAAAAAATGGGATTCTATACCTGAAAGTCCTCAAATATATGAAGCTGAACTTAATACCCACAATATGCATGAAAGAATGAAGATATATTATATTGGTACTAAATTGCACTTTATACTAACAAGAAACTTGTGTGTGCTAATTCAAGCAAGAAAAAAGCAAGATTTTATCTTTATATCTTCTGGACTTCTGTTATCTTGGTATACTGGGTGTGCTGAGCCAGAAAAATAAGATGAACATTATTGGTCACCTAGCTAGCTTCCCCGTCATATGTGAGGATTCTGTCCGTCTCAAGAAACATAAGGTTGCCAGGCTTTCTTCCTGTTGACCAATCAGTGTTGTTGTATACCATTGTTTCTCATCTTGCCTCAGGTCTGGTGTGGACCTAGTCTGGACTGCAAGCCTCACAACTTTTTGCATTTGTTTCTGTGTGTTTGTTTCTTATGTTGCAGTTTTCCCCTTGTTTTTCTCTCTCTCTCTCTCTCTCTCTAGCTGCTCCTGCTCATATGGACATAAAAAACAGCCCCTTTTTTTTAGCACAGTCTTATTTTATTCTTTCAAAAGAGTTGTATGCCTTGGTTCCTTTTCTTGTCCTACTCTGGTCTTGGTTTATGACTTTTCTTGTGGTCCTAATAATTGTGTGCAGCTTTTCCTGGTCTGATCATTTGACAAGTCACCTGAAAAATACCTTAGTTACCTGCTATAGGTAACAGATGAAAACAGTTCATCAAGTATGTTCTTATGTTAACTTTGCTTGTGCCTCTCTTGTTTTAGGCTGGTCCTGGTCTGATGCGAGAGAAGACGGTGCTGGATGTGGACATGTCCGAGGATGAGAAGCAAAACCTGTCTAAGATGCTCCTCTCTCACCATAGCAAAGCACAATGGAAGATGGAGAAGGAGCGAGAGAAGAGGGCAAATGAGGTGAATATATACCAATGCTAGGATTTATTGAAATAGAAGTACACCCTGACATCAATGATTTGAATAAAATCAGGAAGATAGGAGATTTAGGATCTTCAAACTAATGATAATAATAATAGTCCGTTCCTGTAAAGCGAATAACACATCATGATATAAAGTCTCTATGCGCTTCCAAAGAGCTTAGGAAATTATTACCCTAGCTTTAGCTCCGTCAGCCGTTACTAGTGGAAAAATCTGGAATGTATTCTTAATACTATGTTAGCGGCGAGAGGTATAAGCAATATAAATCATGTCTAATGATTGGTTAATTTATGTGCATAAATGTAGCTGGTTGTGTTTGCAGATATTTCAGAGAGACATTTGCATATAAAGGATAGGTAGTATCAAGTTGTCATGACAATAGGCATAACTCTTACTTATACAATTGAAGAAAAAAACCAGAAACCCACCCTGATTAAAAAGATGAGAACATTTCCAAAGATCATTTAAATCAAACACAAATTGGCAATTGGAAATCCCATTAAATTTGTGTCTTGGCAAATTCGAGTACTGTGTAATTGTTGAACGCACTTCCCTTTCTTCAGGTTCAATTTAGAGATGTGCAGTATACTTTTAGGGAAATAGAATGTTTTCAGTAATAACATGGACATTTCAAATTTCTGCAAATTGACACTGGTTGTGTACATGTACTTTTATTGCTATTTATTTTAGTAACAATATTTTGATGGCTTGACTCTGCTCATTCTTTATCATTCCACAGCTTAAAGAACGACTGGAAATGCGCAAGACTCGTATCCAGGATGCTGCAACCACCATCTTGGGACTGGGAGAGAGACAGAAAACTATGGTGGAGAATAAAAAGAAGGTAAGAGATGGTTCCGGCATGTCCCCCCCCCCCCCCCCAAGCTACTACCCAACCAAAATCACAGAGCCCTCCACACCCCAGGGCTGGGCCCACTCCAAAACAGGGCGTCTCCTGGGCTAGAAGGAAAGAGAGCAGTTCACCAACCTAGCCATCAAATCCTATCTCAATAGACTAACAGTTCTGAAATTACACTCACTATACTAGATAGATGCAGTGTAAACACACTAGAGAATTGTGGCAAACTACTGAAACAGTGCTTGCTCGAAAGAAATTATAACATTTTCCATATTAATACTTTGTATATTGGCTTTGAACAGAGATGAAATTTTTATCAAATCAATTCTGCTTTTTCATACTCTTTCAATATCAACAATTTGTCTGGTATTGCAAACTAGAAATGAAACATCTACCATCAAATCATTCTTGTTCCTATCTAGGATGAAAGGGAGCGTCAGATAGCGCTGGTGAAGGAGCGTGTGCAGCGTGTACGGTATGAACGCACCCAGACCATGAAGTTCAAAGGTGACGACAAGAAACGGTTCAAGGACTACCTAGAGAAGGAGGATTCTGGTCTGTCAGAGGATGAGAAGATGACGAAGATAGCTGACCGGATTAATAGCCAGTTCAAGAGGCATGAGTCCAGCTATAGGGCAGGACACAAGAGTGTAAGTTACCATTGTGATACTATTCACTTGATTCTTCATGGAATCCAGTGGAATATAAATACATTTATTCATTTCGACGGGGACAAAGTTCACTTTCAGGTAGATTATAAGGAAATAATTTATTCTCCCTTCTAATTACACTTTACTGATCCATCAAAAAGTGGAATATCCATGTATAAATTTAATTCAAAATGGTTTATTAGACAACATGCTAAGACTTTTAGACACGTCATCACCTACCGAAATTGTGGATTTTCTTTAAGACTTTGATTAACACTATAGAGCTGAATTGTATGTGTCCTTGTTAAATCTATTTTACTAAGGGAAAGTCAAGTTTTTTTTTAAGTTTCTTCATTGATTGTCAACATATAACATGCATTGTATTTTTCAAATTAACCAAGGTGTTCATGTACTAACTTTAATTATTTTAATCCATGTGTTCCTTATGGTATTAGACATGTACCTATCTTTTTTCTGGTCGTCTGATGACTTAAGTTTTATTATGATAATCAAACAGGTAGGCAACATATTTATCCCTATCAATCATCATAAGTGTTTGTCTTTAAGTATCCCTTATCTTTTTTGATACATGGCAATTAGTTAACTCCATTCAATAGCATAAAAAGAGCTGCAGTCAAAATATAGATTCTGGTTTTAAATCCAAGTTAATTTCCACTTTTCATAAAGAAATCATTACACAGTCTCCTTTGATAGGAAGTAAAGCCATAGGTAACATGGATCTGTGGACAAATTTACTTTCTGAACATCCTAGCTTGATCAAATTTAAGGAACAGAAAAATTTTCAGATAGGGTCCTAAAAATTTGTATCACCTTTAGGTATCTGTACATCATTAATCTTGTATTTTTAGGGCGGAATGCTCAGCAAGAGCATCAACCCACGCTGTCATGCTTGTCTCCATTATTTGGAGGAAGAAAGGAAGAAATTTGTATGTAAAATAGAGAACTTTGCAAGAATTTCCAAAGATTCACCAATTTTTTTGGTGCACCCATTTTATTTATTACTTTCACTTTGAATTTTTAGTTAATTTTATATATCTCATATAAGTTTGAATTATTGTTAATTGCATTATATTTTATGATTACAATTTTTAGTTACTTTTTTTCTGTGTTTTATCAACAACTTTTCAAGTTATTTATTTATATTTTCAAAAAGATAAACTTTTAGTTTTCACCACCTCCTACGTACTCTGGAGCTCAAAATGCCTCATCATTTGATACTGGTTAAATTATCTTAATTTCAGAAAAACTGATTTTTCACTGCATGTCAAATATGAAGTCTGTCTTGGTCAATTTTAAAAAAGTCTTATAGCAAGATACAAAATCAATTCTATACCATGTATATTATCATAATGAATTGATTCAAGTCTGATTTATATACCCTGGTCTTGGTATAAATATGGAAGGATGATAATATAAGCCGCCCTATCATATCTTTAAATCTGTAAATCATATTTAGAGGTAAAGAGGATAATCATTTTGATTGCTCTGTTCTTATTTTGTCTGAGCAGTGAAAGATCAGTTGCACAGGTCAGTCTTTCATTTTGAGGTTTTAATGAGAATTTGCAGTATTTCATTTACCGGTAGATCTGATTTTGAAGGGGTTAAGATTGTTACCCAGCATCAACTCTGCTGTGAAGTCACTTCCTAATGTTGGATTGATCCTTAAACCACCTCTTTCTTTCTTTCCTTGAAATGAACCCTGCACATTTCATTTTTGTTAAAATAAATAATAATATAATTAAATTATTAATTAGCACTTCACCTACATCTAATACAATTTATGGATGATCAATCTTCATACTCTCTGAAGTATTCTTACATGTTCAGTACCTGATAATTTCATTCTTTTATATTTCATAGGCTAATCAAATTGCTTTTAATTTGAATGTATGCCACGTACTGCACATGTTGAATTACATCATTCTTAGTACCGTATAATAAGGTACTCACTTTCAAAATCCAATTTTCATCTAGCACTCCCCTACACATGCCAATTACACCACAGTAGTAAGTTTTGGTTGATGTCACAAAAAAATTGTGTCTTATAGTTTTGAATTTGTGTCATCCATTGATTGTAATCACTACGCCATCAAACATTTCATCCAGTAAGATGAGAGAAAAGTGATCTTCTTGATTTTGTTTTTCCTTCACTGTTACCTTAATAAGTTGTAAACCAGCATATTATATAATTACAGAATGGATGATAAAACAGCGCAGCAATGGCTGTAGAAAGCATCTTTATTTCCCTTTTTCTCCAAATGACACTATAATCTGTAAAAGATAAATGAGTTCAGTGTTTCATCAAGTTGACTGTTTACATGTGTATTTTTGTTCATGACATCTTTTATGTAGATATGTTTCATCTTTATTTTGATTTTTAATATCACATGAAAATCACTCTATTAATTGTGCCCATGTGCAAATGAATGTTCCTGTATATCTGTTCCTCTACATGAATTTAGTAACAAGCAAACTGGATATTTTTTTTTTTTTTTTTTTTTTTTTTTTAAATGAAGAAACCCTCCTTTGAAGTGTTGTCTTGAGTAGAAACAGGAATCAGATTGAACAAATAGTGGAATTTTGAAAGCATAAAAATGTTAAGATTTTAGTTGAAAACAGATACAAATATATGTTTTGGGAGTGTAAAAGAGAGTTCTCTATGATTGAATGAATTGCAGATAAGACTCTCCATACAAATATTGATCTTGACTTTCAAATAGTTTGCACTCATTCTTGGTTTTATTTTTCTGAAACTTAAACTTTTACTAACATTTTTTCTAGATTTTTCTACTTCTATCCTACCATGAAGGGCCCCTTCATATTGTGTTTACTTTGCATGCTGTGTTGTCGGTTGGATCTGTGCTTCATGGATGTTGTTGAAAAGATGTAGAAAATATCTTCACATTAAAATATGAAATGTCAAGCTGGTGTAAATTTTACAGTCATTGCAACTATATAGTGATGATGTGTTTTCTCCCTGGAAGAATTATACCATGTACAATAAAAGCTGTTTGTTTACCTTCAGGAAGCATGATCATATAAAGAAAAAAAAAAAAAGAAAAAAAGATTATTATTATTATTATTTCTATAAAGATTCTACCAACAGATTCCGCTGGCTTTATCTGAGTCTTGTATCCAAACTGATATAATCTAATTTGAGCAAAAAGAGCAAACATCACCCAAGGTTAAGAATAAGAGAAGTAGTCTTGACTCGGCATGACTGATGATAGTGGGTGATCGATCCTGTGCATCCATCTTCTTTTATTTGAAAGTGATTATTTTTATTTATATTTCTTTGTTTTGTTTCTTTATTTATTTGATGGATCTCACAGGCCTTTGAACCTGATGAGGATGAACTTGCATCAAACTCCTCCGGTTCCAAGCCCGCCACACCCCAGGGCTCCGCCCGACCCAAAACAGGGCGTCTCCTGGGCCAGAAGGAAAGAGAGCAATTGATCAAGTCTCGCCAGGCCAAGAGGAGAGAGATCAAGAAGGTCAACAACAGTATCTCAGCCGCACCCGACATGGACTCCCTCGCCAAGATGATTGAGGACCGCAAGAAAGCCGGTATGCAGCAGGAGGAGGAGGAGGAGGAGGATAATGGAAGTGAGGTTTAAAGAGAAAGAGATACTTGTGAGGAGGAAAATTTGGTGATGAGCATTTTTTCAAATTTTGGTTTCATTTGAAAGAACTCAACATTTGAGACATGTGGTGTGCTTGGTTGACCAAAAAACAAGGGTTATCCATAGCTTTGAGTTCAGACAATTTCCAAACTTTTTCTTTCATTTAATCAAACAAAAAATGTTCCCATGTTAGTGTTTAGAAGGAAGATATTTTAAGCTATGTATGCTTGGTCCAAATTTATGGTGCACTCATGAATTTTGGGGCCCCCAACAGTATGGAAGGGCAAAATAAATAAATCTTTAAGCCATAAATACGATCTATATTCTTGATATTTTCCTTAAAAAAGATGTTGCATCATGAATAGAATAGAATATTACTTCTATGATTCCAAGATACTGATATCATGACAATCATTGCTGTTTAGGTATGCCTTTATTGAAAAGAGAAAGGAAAAGAAAATCAGATTTTAAAGAATTTATTATGTAGATATTTATTGCATGTTAATGAATATTCTTTAAAGACTGAATTCAGCATTCGAATGTCACAGTTGTGAGAAAAATATATTGTGCAATGGCATACTCAAGATAGAAATGATTTCTGTTCCGTTATGTATTGTAATATAATTCTAGTAATTTCCCTATGCATTGACATATTCCTTTTTTTTTATACTTTTTATCATTAATTCAGTAATTATTATGTATTTGTGGTTGATGAGTTTCTCTGTAACTGTTTAATTGTTATGTAAAATATGTAGTTGTGTACATGTACTTCAATGTGGATATAATATTTATTCTCAATTTCAGTCTAGACTAGCAGAAATGTAACTCATTATTGAAGAATAAAGATTGTGCTTGTCTACTCCATGACATTTCAGGTTACTTTATTAAGTTAGTGTTTGATAATTAATTTTCATACTTCCTCACCTAGATGTTTGCAGAGTTGAAAATTCATTGATTGAAACTGAAAATTAATATTGTATAATATATGTTTCAATAAATCACACTTTAATTTATCTTACAAATTAGAATTGTTAATAGATTTAGCAATGACTTGAAATGTATTCTTTATGATTCTTACATGTGGGTATACATTCTAGTAATACACACATTTGATAAATTTGAATGTGCAGTAGTATAACAAAAGAGGGGAAAAGAATATATAATCATATTCAAGTGCATTTACCTGTACATGTATTTAGACAAACCAGGTGTCTAACATATCCAGCTTGGATTCATAGATAAGATGTAAAAGCATAAAAACAATGAAATATTAACCAAGATAATTATAATGATTTATGTTCTCTACTTGACAGAATATACTTAATCTTTAGTTGATACTTCTAAATGTACTTTGTCCATAGTAGTATGGCAACGGAATGTTTCAGTATATTAATATATAGACTTTGTTATCAAAATCAAGAGATATAGATATATAGTTTTTATAGCAATCTTTTACTCTATAATGCCTTGATGCCTTAAATTCAAATCACCTTTATTCACAAATTGAAATGTAATCAATATACATATACTATTTTTTTATCAATTAAATTTATTGTATATATGTCCATGTCTTTCATGAAGGTGTGCATCCGTCCATTTTGTATTCATTAATACATGTACTTTATTGTGATTCATATCGTAATTAGTAGCAATCACTTATTTTCTAATCAGGCATTTTTTCAGGCATTTGATATAAATTATTATCGAGAGATATTTAGAAATGAGTCATAAAATGTAATACATCTCACTTATATACATGTAGTATGTTTTATCACCTGTATTTTATTTTGTGTGTGATAGTTTGTTTGCTGTTCAATAAATATCTTTTAATCCACTTACAGAAATTTTAATGTGTGTTAAATGTATTTATTGATTTGTACTTCAATGGAAATTAACCCTATATAGAAAAAAGTTCAGAATGGAAACAGGGAAACAGAATAAATATTGTTTCAAATGGACCATTTTGTCGTTCATGTTTATGTCCAATTTGACCCCCCCCCCCCCCCCCCCCCCATCCTGATTCGTATACTAATGTTTCAAAGAAATTAGTTGATATTTCACCCTGTATAGCTGTTGCCAACGTAAATTAAATAAACAGATTCTAAAGAAAAGTCAACATTAAGGATAACACAAGTACATAATTCGGTCTATCAGTATCATCAGTTCATGTAAGATGAAAAGAACAAGTATTTTTCTTATCTGCAGATGCCCTTTAAGAATTGTATGAACAATCCAACAGTTCATTTTTATGTCCCCACCTTCATCACTCAAAGCTATGTTAATATTTGTCATTCTTCTGGAACAATCTATTCACCTTCCTTTCTGGCTTTACTCTCTCTCTCTCTCTCTCTAGCTCTCATTCCCTCACTTTCTCTCCCATCTCCTTGCCCCATCCCCTCAGATATCATTTTTAAAGTCTCTTATTCTCCATCTCCTCACTCCCTCTCTCTCTCTCTCTCTCTCTCTCTTTCCTGATCTCTATTTCTCCCCGTCTCTCATTTGTTCTCTTGCACATCTTCATGCTTCATCCCCTTTCATTTTTTTTCTCCATCCGTCTCATTTTCTCTCTCCCCTTTTTCCCTACTCTCTTTCTCTCCATTTTCTTTTTCATTTCTCTCCTTTCCTCTTCCTCAATCTTCTTTTTTTCTTACTATCCAAATCACTTTCTCCCTGTTAGCTGTTTTTGTTCACTCTCTTCCTCTCCTAGTAAGTCTCTACTCCTGTATTGCTAATAGCTTCTTTTTTATATAAAATAATCGAGCATAATCCAAGCAATTAGAGAACAATATAATTTTAATGGCAAATTCCAAAAAGAGGAATAAGAAAGTGATTTGATTTCACAATACTTCAAAACTTTATACATAAGTGAAAATCCAATAGTTTGTTCCATGCTATTTGTTCCAAATGAAACAAACATTCACATGTAAGATAAAAAAAAACTTGAGAAGGAATTTCAATGAAGCAAAATAGATTGATAGATAGATTCATCCCGTCACCCGAGTTGCTATCTGTGGTAAACCAGCATATCAAATAATTACAGAATGGATGATTAAACAGCGCAGCAATGGCTGTAGAAAGATGCACCTGAAAAAGGATTGAATAAATTCTTTTTTTACATCTTCTCAATTTTATTAACGATCCTACTGTTGAGTATTCAAGGAATGCTGGTCAAAGAAATACATCAAAAACATCTGCGTAATAAGTATTAGGCAATTTTAGTTGCTACATTCCCTTCAAAAACATACCCTCTCACGCGAAAGCTGTGCAAAAGGAAAACTGATTATACCAATATAATGTATATGAACTACTTTTTAAGGTAGTCCAATTTGGCATCGATCAAAAAAAACTTTAAGAAGCTTGAAATGTGAGAAGTAATATTAGATTGTATAGAAATTTGGGGGGAGGGATGATAGGCACAGGAATGTACAATAAAGATATTGCTAACAAGAAATGTTGGCCTTGTTCAACTTAATTGCAATGTGTAAAGAACAAACAAATGGAAACAATAAATTAGAGGTGCATATCTAAAATAATTATTCAATTCAATTTGATATATAAGTTTTATACAACATTTAAGTTATTGCATGATCTCTACTCAACGATGGTACTCATCTCAAACATCAAATATATTGTTAACATTATGATGTATTAACAAAGTCATTTATTGTAGACATTTTAGATATACAAGTAAACTTTGTCACACAACTTTTTTGCCAAATTTTACAAAACAAAACCACAAATAATGAAAATGAATGCATAGATTTTTAGATTTAAAGAATACTGTTTCAATTATGAAAAAAATATTTATATGATACACACATACATGTAAATGTAGCACTGATATCACAAACTAAGCTTTAGTATGGATGGAAGAATGACATTTAAAAAAGAAGCACTCTCTGCCTTTTACATGGGTGAAATTTGGCATGTGATGAAGTGAACCTTCACAATCTTGAAATCCAGAAATTCTAGAAATACATTAAACCAAGTAGAGAATGTTGACTATCTGATAATATGGTTACAAAGGAAATAGAACCCTAAGACTTTGGGTAGACTTTAGATGATCTTGAAATGCAGTGAGTAGTCAATAGATGAAAATCTGATGAACCAGATGTGACAAAACCCTCAGTTGCTTTGGCATAATGACACTCATTCTTGTGAAACAATTCAAAGACATCTCAGACTTAGAACTGCTGTCTCCGGACGACGGTCATGTTATGATGCAAATGTCCAGCACTTTGTATTTCTTTCTTGCTTTTTCTTTTTTTGATGAAAACTGGAACGTCTCTCTCACTGCACATGTGCACATCAAGCACCAGGCTTGAAAAATGGAAATGGAACCTATCTTGTTAGTAGTATTTAGATTAATTGTTCAAACTGTCAGTCTGATTGCTCATTCTTCTAGAAATTAGAATATTCCATTTGTACGGAAAAATGAGTCTTTGACGATACGTGAACGGCCATATGTAGGTGCACGGAATTCCTTGACGACATCATTTAGCCTCCATCCATACTCCCAAGAACTGGTCAGCGGAACCTCATACTTCATCTCAGGCTTCTTTAGTTTACGCATCTGTAGATAGGCATAGCGTCCTGTTCCTTCTTTGCTGAATCCCTTGAACAACTGCTCCCTAACATCCGATGTGACGGGTCTCATTTCAACCAACAGAGCATTAGGATCTTTGCCGGCAATTTTTTCTAGTTCTTTCTTGGAATTTTCCTGAGCTTTAGAGGCGTCGGTCTTGTCAGCTGCTTTCTTGGTTTTCTTGGTTTTCAAAGACTGGACAGGAATAAGTTTCACCTTGGGCACCATATCAGGTCGCTTCTTCCTAGCGACCGCTGCCTGGCCTCCCTCGCGAGACTCACGGGCGAATTCCTTGCTGTACTTCTCATGCCAAGCCAATCTTGTGTAGGCTTCTTTGTGGATGGATTCAGTCCAGAAATTCTGCCGTTGTACGTCAAATAATTCACCCATTCTGGTATGTCTTAACTGTTCTTTGATCTGGAAAAAGAACTGACGCTAGAAATGGCAAGGCGAAGCACAAAACAATGTTAAATTAACATTTATGTTTACGTGGTCTCGGGATCCGCAGTGCAGCGTCGTAGGTAGGTGGATCATAAGAGTGTAAACAGTACACGTGAATTGCGGGTGGGTTGTTATGGATACGCCGGTTTGGGCATATACCACTAGCAAAATAGGGGTTATACTTTTTAGAACAATAAAGTGGCATCAAGTGATGTAGTTTTTATTACGATATAGCTGCTTATGAAACCAAAACTAATCTTAAATATGATAAATGAAAAGATTTGTTTGTCTTTTTTTCATTATATCCTCGTTTAAGTTCGTGTAAATATCAATATCAATAACCATATTATGTGAACTATTGATCCTGTGCTTGTATCACCCCTATCGACGGACCAGACCAACTTAAGCCGTCTTCGGGTGTGTGTACCATCGGTACTGTGAACAAAAGGAGGGACGAACAATTAGAACTTAACAGTTTGATGTACAGGCAGTAGGCTACATGTATATTTCATACAAATTGATTGATTGATTGATTTGTATTCGCCAAGCTTCCAATATACAACAATATACAAGAATAACAGATCAAAAATCAATTCAGCTTGAACAGGATAACCCACGAAAGCTCGAGAGCTAATGGACAGACATGTACCAAATTAACCCCCCCCCCCCCCCCCCCCAGGCCCACTCAGTGTTATTTAGGGTACGCGTCATTCATTCCCACGGTTTCTCCTCGATAATATATATGCCGACAAAACCCAACTATATATTACTGTTACAAAAGTCTGGACAAATTCTTCAAATGTTACAGAAACTGGAAGGTTGTCTACATGCCATTCGCTCCCGGGTTAACTGAAAACTTTCTGCTCTAAGCTTGAACGACAAGATGGAAGTGCTACACCTGTTTTCTCACCGAAGAAGAAATATAACAGAACTCCCTCCGATTAAAAAAGCCAATGGCTCTATCAATTCCTCCAAAACAGTTGTTAACTTAGATGTTACGTTTGATCAAAAACCTTCCATGTCGATAGTATTTGTAATAAAGCATCCTTCGCCCTGGGAAAAATTCGTAAAATTCGTAAATTCCTCTCCAAGTCAGGCGCGTACGCAGGGGGGGGGGGGGGGGGGGGGTTAAACCTCCCCTCGAGTTTTTGCTATGTGTATGTTTTGTGTATGTTTTTTGTGAACCCCCCCCCCCCCCTTTGAGTTTTTGTTTTTGTTTTTTTGTTTTTTAATACAAAAATTATTTAAAAGAAATTATGCATATGGCTGACCTAAAAAAGGTGACCCTACCCCCCCCCCCCCCCCAACGGAACAAAATGTCAAATTTTCAAATTTCGAGACCAAAAAAAAAAAAAAAAAAAGTGTCCTGTTACCCCGTAAATGTTTTGACATGAAAGAGGGAGCATATTATTTAAATACTTAAACATGCCATCAGTAAACTTTATAGCGAATTTAGGTCGAATACTGTTAGGGTTTTCAGTTTGTATATATATTGGACTTATACTATCAGAGGATAGTCTAAATCATTATTATTGAACATTGATTAATTTTACTAATTTATTTTTATTATAGGTATAATAGTAATGCTTTGCACGCAAAGTTTCTGTGTCGTACTATGATGTCATGGGATGAAACGAGAATGGAATGAAGAAATAATGATAAGTGAACATGAAATGCATACAATAAGAATGTATGATGATTACTAAAAGATTAACTTTCATAATGATGAGCTCACTAATTTTGAGCATCTCAACCATGAAATACATTTAAAATTACGGAACATTTGATGAAACACTTTGTTCCGGAATCACTTCACTTATGAAAACGTATTTGATGCCTCGATAATAACATGTTATTCAAATAAACAGAGAATGATTCTACACTGCAAAAACAGTGGTGTTAAATTCAACACCATAGGTGTTAATATTAACACCATTCCGGTATCTATATCGGAAAACACCAGTTGGTGTTATTTAACACCAAGGTCTGGATTTGAATGATTCAATTCTACTCTTGGTGTTGCAATTCAATTCTATTTTTGGTGTTAATATAAAATCCTACACCATTTTCTGGTGTAACAATGAATCTGATTTCTGGTGTTATTTAACACCACCGCCTGGAATGAAATAATTTTAATTCTACTCTTGGTGTTGCACTTCAATTCTATTGTTGGTGTTATTTTACACCAATTCTAGAATTAAATAGTATAATTCTGCTCTTGGTGTTGCAATCCAATTCTATTTATGGTGTTAATATAAAATCCAGCACCATTCTTCGGTGTTGCAATAAATCCTATTTTTGGTGTTATATAACACTAAAGGTCTACTACTTTTCTACTCTTGGTATTGCAATTCAATGCTAGTCTCAGTGTTTAAAAAACTCAACACACCATTCTTTCAACACCAACAATTCATTCCAGCTCACTCCATCTTAACACATGCACAGAAAATATTCAAATACACACAAGAAGTGAAAAGAAACAATTTTTTTTCGTAAACAAAAACACATGGTGCTTGTTTAATCAATAAATTAAACAACTTGTTTTCATTCATGTTGAAATCAATGATGCTTAGCGTTTTTATCTTGTATGGTTCAACATTAAATCCTTTTGTCATGTATTCAAAATCTGTGACTCATTTGTCTGAATACAACAAAACACACTTTTTTAAATCATTCAAAATCTGTTATTATGAATCCACCCTTATAAGTAAAAAAAAAAGGATGAAACAAGTAACTAAAAATCATTCAAAATCTGTTATTATGAATCCAACCTTATAAGTAAAAAAAAAAAAGGATGAAACAAGTAACTAAAAATTTTCCAATATAAAAACTTTAAACAATGTCATAATTCCTTTCAAGGAATGAAAAATCAAAGTCGTTTCTAATAAATAGAAACTAAACAGGATGCAAAATGCATGTATAAATGAAGACAAAACAAAAAAACAACAAACATTATGCTTCTACATCAGAGTGAATTATGTAGCTAATAAGAATTTTGACACATTTCACCTTGAATCCTAGTACATGCATGCTGAAGGAAAATATCACAGAATCTTTTTCATATGAAATATACAGAGTGCCCCCCCCCCCAAAAAAAAAAACCTTGGAAACTGCTAGTATAATCTGCAGGCAGACTCTCGGCTTCGGTTTTTCGCAAGTTTCGTAGTGCATATTTCAGAGTCTGCAGTCAGAGACTACTTTCACTCATATCATGATCCCTTAAAGGGAGCATAACTGTATGTGTATATGTAGTCTCTAAATGCAGACTCTACATCGTGCACTATGCAAATTGCAAAACCGAAGCCAATGGTCTGTGCCCGCAGACTAATTATAGTATGACTTTAATTTCTTATGCTAGAACAATAGCAACACTAACAAATCTCATCCAGCAGTTTTGTTGAACAAGATTTTTTTACCACAGGCCTGCAACCATTGAGATTCAGGATGATTTAATTATTTCAGGGGATTTTTATCTCCTAGCTTCACTGCTTGTAAAGGGTTAAACAAATGTTTCAAAAACATTGAAAAAACACTATAAATTCTACATTCATTCTAATATAGGTGAACATTCTTTTACAGCTTTCTGTTTACAAACATATTCCATTTTACATCGTGCACTATGCAAATTGCAAAACCGAAGCCAATGGTCTGTGCTCGCAGACTAATTATAGTAAGGCTTTTTAATGTCTTATGCTAGGAAGCAGCCTTCAAGAACAATAGCAAAACTAACAAATCTTATCCAGCAGTTTTGTTTAACAAGATTTTTTTTTACCACAGGCCTGCAACCATTGAGATTCAGGATGATTTAATTATTTCAGGGGATTTTTATCTCCTTCACTGCTTGTAAAGGGTTAAACAAATGTTTCAAAAACATTAAAAAAACACTATAAATTCCACATTCATTCTAATATAGGTGAACATTCTTTTACAGCTTTCTGTTTACAAACATGTATTTCCCATTTTACTCCTGGGAGAAAAAATCAAAAAGTAAAATTATGCATTTCTATATCAACTAATTCGCTGCTCGTTTTTCCAACAGGATATAAACAACAACAACAAAAATCAGTCCATGCACTTCTAGTTCACTGGCTTTCATGCACAAACATCATAGAATTGTTTTTCTTGTAAGAAAAAAAAAGAAAATATACAACAGCTATTTGACTTCAATTTGGTTTCGAATTAACCAATTTAAAGATGTTAACAATTAAGAGTCCAAAATATTATTGATCAAAATTATTTTTAAAACCAATTGATACCACTAAGCAAAACCAGACATTAGCTTGAAAGCTTTAAATTACTTAAAAAGTACATGCCTTGGTGCTACATACTTCCTCGAGTCTGTCTTCGACAAAGTTGTCATCAAATCTAGTGGTTTGTAGTCAACAAGTTCCTTTTGATTCTTCACTACATGACAACGTGGAAAACTAAATTCTACTGCATAGGCATGATAGTGTGAATTGTAATACACTGTATCTAATTGGACAAGTACAAAAAATACAGTGCTATTGTGTACAATGATATGCTCTATTTGACCAAACAGAGGAAGCTCGCTAACATCATGGCAGACCAGAAGTGACAACTGATAATGTGTTCCATGTACTTTAACCCAGTTGGCATCAAATAATTCAGTAGAAAGATCCTCTACTTGGATTTGCTCTTGCACAATCTGTCCAATATTTTCATCTAAATCTGACAAAAGTAGTGAACTACCTGGCCCAACCTCCAGATATTCCAAAGGATGGTTTGACTGAAGATGGAACGTTAGTGCTGTCTGATGTTTTTTGGCAAGTGATTTACAAATGTTTTTGTAATTACGCACAGATTCTGCAACACGGCCAAAATAGTGATGTTTCGCTTCGTACCTCATACACCATACATGTATGAGTGGCCCAACTTCTCTCAAACACGTTGGATAATGCACCATAAAGTGGTGTTTTGGCAACAACCTTCTGTCAGGAAAGGTTTTCTGGAAATGTGTGTGATGTTCTTCAGTAAGAATAGACAATTGGGCTATCAAGCCTGCTGTCAATTGAGGAGCAAAAATAATGTCCATACAATCTAGTAATCTAAGTAGCAATTCCCAGTAGACATTTCCTTCTTC